CTCATTTCCCTCATACCCTGGGGATGTTAATACATAAAGTAGTATTTATAGCCTCTTGCCTTTCCCTCCATAGCTCACCCAAGCCAGAGAACTGGTGCATACATCTCCCCTTTCTTTCTCCCCATCAAGGTGGAGGTGACTGAGCATGACTAGTCTAAGCCTCTCAAGGACAGAGGCTGTTTCATTTGTGTCTGTGTCTGCAATGCCTATTATAATTTTATGCCTGAAACATAGTAGGCAGTTATTGCTCAGTTCATCGATTGGCTAAATTTCAGTCCTATCCCATATCCGATAGTAATAGGGAGCTGTGTGCAAGCTAAAACTTTGCTAGAAGATCAAGGGGAACTGGGGCTAGTCCCAAACATTAGGCTTCAGAAAGATATTGGCATATTCATTGGGCAGGGGAATGTGTCCCTCTCAACATCCTCCCCCAAGGTTGATGCATGCCCTGTCACTGGGGCACTGAGCAGACTGAGTGTTAGGCACTTACCGAAGTAATGTTGGGGTAGAATGTGTCCAGATCACTGAGTGGAGCATCAGATGAGAACTTGCCCAAATTCTTGGCCAGCCAGTTAGCTGACCTCATTGTATTCCCTGGGCAGGCTGATCCTCCTGTACAGAATTTCAGAATCAAAGGCTATTATCCTCACATGTGGCTCAGGAGAACACATTCAAAGTCCATTTAAAATAGCCTTCCCTGCAAACTGCCCATATACTCTTTCCAGTGCTTGACATATAATATACTAGGCATTTAATACATACATATTGATTGGCTATCTGATTGATTGAAAGAATGATGGGTTGATTCTAATAAGTTGGAATTTAGTGGGATAAATGTAGAATCCTATACTTGTTTTTGAATCAGGTATAACCATACAAGTACAGGATGGCCAATTAGATATCAGTTCATGAAATATAGAACTGAAGGTTTTAGGGGATTTTTAGCACAATATATATCAACAGTGAGTCGGGTTAGAAAAAAAAAATTAACCAAAAGCTAAATGTGATCTTAGTCTGCATAGTTCCAGAAGTGTGATGTCCATAGCCAGGGAGGCAAAAGTTGCCCTGTTCTCCAGACCTGATTGGATCACGTGTGGAGTACTGTATTCAGTTCTGGGCATCATATTTCAGGAAAGACATTGATACAAGTACCTAGGACAGCAACCAATATGTAGGAGGGGATTCCAGGTCTTAATCACCTCAGTTATTACAATAGCTGTTGGTTTTTCTTCCTACTTCAAATCTCTCTCCACTCCAGTCCATCCCCCATTTAGCTGACAAAGTGATCTTCTTAAGTCTGACCATGTCACCCTCCTATTCATCAAACACCAGTGGCTCCCTCTCACCTCCCAAATCAAATATAAAATCCTATTTCCCTTTAAAACCCTTTATAATCTGGCTCCCTTTGCCTTTCCAGTCTTCTTACACTCCTTCATGTCATCTACATTCCAGTGTCCCTTATGTCAAACATTCTATCTGCTGACTCCTGTCATTTTCACCAACTGTCTCCCATGCCTTGAATGTTCTCCACCCTCATTTCTATCGCCTGTTCTCCCTGTCTTGCATCAAGTTCCAGAAAAAATTCCGCCTTCTACAGAAAGCCTTTTCTGATCCCTCTTAATTCTAGCATCTTCACTCTATTGACTATCTCCAATTTATTTTATGCTGTTTATATCTTGTTTGTACATTAGTTGCTTGCATGTTGTCTTCCCCATTAGACTGTGAGTTTGAGAGCTCTTGGGTTCTTCCTTGTGAGCAGGTAGTGTCTTTTGCCTTTCTTTCTTTGCCTCATTTCTTACATAGCCTTAATTACTGAATGGGCTTTGCCACAATCAAACTGAGACCTGGGAAAGACCTTAATTTAAAAAGGCCAAGGTCTCCCACTGCATCCGGGGACATCACCAGTCATCCTGATCTATATCTGGCCACTGGCCCCAGATGGCTCTGGAGGAGAAAGTTTGGCTGGTAACTTTGCACAGCCCTCCCTCACTCAAATCTAATTCACTTGCGTGTCGTGGCATCACCTTCCTGATGTCATGGTCCTCTTTGAGAAGAAGGACAAACAACAACATTCATAGTGCTTAGCACATAGTAGGTGCTTATTAAAATTGCTCACTAGACAACTGACCAGGGTTCTTGTCCCAGCTCTGACACAATTGTGTGAACTCAGACAAATCACTTCTCCTGTCTGAACTCTACATGTTTCATCTGTCAAATGGGGATAGTAATCCATTAGTACTAATAGTACTATTCATTCAACATTCATTCATTAGGTACCTACTATATGTAATATACTTTATTATGTGTTTCAAATGAGATACTTTCCAAACCCTTCCCAATTCTAAATGGTGAAGTGCTGTATAAGTATCAGTTGTTGTTGTAGGTGTTATTATTCCTCTACTAAATTTCTCCTTTGCTATCTCATTGTGGTATCAAAGAGACCCAGGATTCTCAAAGGCTTTGCAGCAGAATGTTAAGCTCCAGACCTTTCTCTGACACTAGGAAGGGCTTAACTACAGACTCTGTCCTTGGGGGACCAGCCTAGTTATGACCTAGGGTCAATGATGCTTATCCCCAGGTGGATGGTTGCCAGAGGATTGATTAATTTTTTACTCTTTTGGTCATTGTAATTCAAGTATTAATGGCTAGACAGGACGTTATCTGCATTGGTGATTGGCAAAAGAGTATCTAAACTGATGAAATAATGGATCTTTTAAAGTAATGAAGTTATGATTCCTTCTAACAACATGCATCTCCAAACTACGTAGAAAAAAATCTTTCAAAATTTGGAGACCTAATAGAAGAAATCAAAAAGTATGTGAAAAAAGGAGGAAGAACCTATAGGGTGACCCAAAAGTGTTAGTGAAGTTTTATTCTTTTATAGCTTTAAGAGATTATAGCTGCACTAAGACTTTTGGGATGCTCTGTATAATCTCCTTCATCTTTTCTGCTCTTCAGGTTGTCTGAGACAGGCTTTTTAGTAAACCTATAGAAGATGGGCCGACACACCCATATTTTTATACATTTTTTAAAAAGCTATCACTGCATCTCCCCCATCCCATGTGTAAACAGAACATTAAGCCTAAAGAATAATAGTAGGACAGCACCTTGTCTCAAGATCATTTCTATCTGAACTCCAAAGGTGAGAGGAATGAGATGATAATTAAGATAATTATATTACTACTTAAGATCAATAGGGCAGTAAGAAGTGTTCCTCTCCCTCTGCCTTGCCCTCATGCCCCATCCCCCACTCCCCCAAGGCCACCAACCTCAGAAAACCGCCCAAGGCTCCCAGGAATGGAATAATTGACCCACCTGTTGAACCAGTTTGTTGTAATAAGTATTTCCTCATGTACTCGTTGTAGATGTCACTTTTTGCTGTGGCTGAGAGAGATTCATAAACTGTGTTGAATCCTTTCACTCTGGAAAAACAAACAAACAAACAAAAAGGGTGTCCTCGCCCAGGGCTTTGCACATAATGGAAACTTGCTGAGTGGGTTCTTGAGGGGGTTCTCCAGATCTCATGGCTGCAGTGAAACTACATGTCACTTAGCATCCAAGTAGCCTGGGTACTCAGGAAAATGTTGCCATGTCACTGAGCTTTGTCAGGACTATGCAGACAAAGAGGCATGGTAGCATGGTGGAAAGAGAGCAAGGCTAAAAGACAGGAGCAATCACTTCCTTCTCGGACACCCAGAAAACTTTCTAAAACTCTAATCTGCATTGGGAGAGGGGATTTCCTCATCTAGAATGTCCTTATCCCTTTGGAATCATATGTCTGGTCTCCGTATGATGCAGAAGTATAAAATCATAGAAACATAGTAGAGAATTGGCAGGAAAGAACCTAGAAACTAGAATGTTAGGCTGGCTTGTAGATATACCTGAAGCTTGCTACTTCATATCTCATTTGCTACAGCAGCTGACCAGGTCGTCTCCCACTCCCAGGCTCTTTCTGATGTATTGGGCCGCCTGTCAGGCAGCTGAAGAGGCCTTGCTATAAGCCTACGGTGCTAGTGCTGTTTCTGTCTGCCCTTGTATTCCAAGATTCTGGGAAGTTGCTTGACTTGGGCCTGTCCCTGCCTAGAGGTCCCAGTGGGATTCTAAGAATCATACGCTCAGGACAGGCAGCTTTCTTAAGGAAAGGTGGGCAGGAAATCCCCATTTGGATAGGCCAATAGACAGTGTCCGGGGACAGAAGGTCAGTGCTGCTCAAGGTAAACCTAGGAGAATGCCCATTTGAGTAGGCCAGTGAGCAGTGTCCAGGGACAAGAAAGAAATGGAAGGTTGGACTAGAAGATGATCTTCATGTCTACTGTATGCAATAGGATACATTTGAATATGGAAAATGCCTGCTAGTTCCTCCCTCCTCTCCTCCCAATTTTTTTCCTTCTGAAATTAAACCCTTGGACACTTTGTGCAACTGTATGTAAACATCAGACTTAGAGTTAGTCCTGACTCTGACACTTATTAGTCACGTGCCCATGGGCAATCAATTAACAATCAATCAACCCACTATGTGCCAAGTCCTATGGTAGGCACTGGGTATTCAAAAACAAAAAAATGAGATAATCTCTGCTCTTGGGGCAAGTCAAATGACTTCTCCAAGCCTTGGTTTTTTTTTTCTTTTTTCTTTAAATTTTGCTAGGCAATGGGGTTAAGTGACTTGCCCAAGGTCACACAGCTAGTGTTATGTGTCTGAGGCTGGATTTGACTTAGGTCCTCCTGTCTTCAGGGCCAGTGCTCTATCCACTGTGCCACCTAGCCGCCCCAAAGCCTTGGCTTCTTTACCTATAAAATGGGACCCTTAGTACCTTTGGTATCCCTCTCTCTTAAGGTTGCAGAGAGAAAGCATTTTACAGATTCTGAAGCACAACAGGAACATGGGAACAATGTGTGATCGTCATGAGCAGATGCCTTTAGACATCCTGGAAAACACCCGTATTGCCCAGACCCCTCTGGGACCCAAGACTCTGCTGGGCAGCAGAGGAGTGTCTTGGCACTCACACAGCTTGGTAGGAGTCACAGGAGACATTGGTGTTGAGTCTGGCAAGGGTAGTTCTTGTCACAAATGGGAGGAGCAGGGGGAGCTGATGCTGGAACCACTCTGACCACACGGAGGCAGGGAAGAGGTGGGAGCTGGGGCTCAGCCTTTCTAGAACAGCCCTCAGGATGGCGGCCCCAACTGTAGCATTGGGCAGGGCATTCAGGTGAGCCTGCAGAACAAGATGGAGGGTGAAGGGTGGTGGCACAAAAGTGGGATCTGAGTGGTGCCAAGCTGACCCATGGCACAATGGAGAAAGCCAAAGGAGTTGCTTTGTTGTCTCCAACCTGCATTTTGGTCAGCGGTCCAGTCTTTATAGACAACAAGGATGCTTTCATGGAACAGATTGAATGTAGCTCTTCAATACAATGCTGCTTGGAACCAGGCTGTGCTTTTCCTCTCTGGAGTGGGTAGGCTGGGTTCCTTCCTTCCTTCCTTCCTTCCTTCCTTCCTTCCTTCCTTCCTTCCTTCCTTCCTTCCTTCCTTCCTTCCCTTCCTTCCTTCCTTCCTTCCTTCCTTCCTTCTTTCTTTCTTTCTTTCTTTTCTTTTTCTTCTTTCTTTCTTTCTTTCTTTTTCTTTTTTCTTTCTTTCTTCCTTCCTTCCTTTCTTCCTTCCTTCCTTTCTTTCTTCCCTCTATCCTTACCTCTTTCCTTCCTTTTTCTTTCTTTCTAAGGTTCTGTCTATTATTTATTGATTTAAAAAAATAAACATTTGCCTCAGTAGAACAAAGTGCTTCCTTGAAGGCCTTCCTCAGACAGGGTTGGGTCAGTTTGCCTTCTGTGTACCATTTGTTCTGCTGTTAGGGTGAACTAAAATCGACCACAATTATTTGGATGTGTTATAGAAGGTGAATGCAGTGAGATCATGTGGAAGGAGCCTTGTCCTTGGTGTCTGAAAATCAGCTTTCAGATCCTGATTCTACCATTCACTAAATGTGTAACCATGGTCAATGAGGGCTAAGTCTATAAGTTTCCATTTCCACATCTGTAAAATGGGAATAGGTAGCTAGGTGGCACAGTGGATAGAGTACCAGGGCTGGAGTCAGGAAGACTCATCTTCCTGTTGTTCAAATCTAGCCTCAGACATTTATTAGTTATGTAACCCTAGGCAAGTCACTTAATCCTGTTTGTCTCAGTTTCCTCATCTGTAAAATGAGCAGGAAAAGGAAATGGCAAACCGCTCCAGTATCTTTGCCAAGAAAACCCCAAATGGGTCATGGAGAATTGGACATGACTGAATGACCACAAATGGGTATAATGAGATGTGTTACCTAAACCTCAGATTGTTGAGAGAATCTATAGAGTGCTTTGTAAACCTTAAAGTAATATGCAGCTATGAGAGGCAGTGGTACAGCGGATAGAGTAAATGACTGAGAGTCAAGAAACCTAGGTTCAGTCCCACTTCAAACACTTCCTAACTACATAATCATGGGCAAGTCATTTAACCTCTTTGACCTCAGTTTTCTTACTTCTTACTTGTAAAATAGGAATATTAGTTATATCACATACTTTACAGGGTTATTGTGAGAAAAACACTTACAAACCTTAAAGCACTATATAAATGTGAATGGTTATCATTCAAGACAACCCTTACCCTTTCACTGCCCTAAGCCTATATGACTCTAAGTGTTTTTTTAGGCAATTGGGGTTAAGTGACTTGCCCAGGGTCACACAGCTAGTAAGTGTGAAATGTTTGGTCTGAGGCCAGATTTGAACTCAGGTCCTCCTGACTTCAGGGCTGGTGCTCTATCCACTGCATCACCTAGCTGCCCTTAAGTTGAGGGTTCTTAATCCTTTTTGTCTCATGGACCCCTTTTTAAGTCTGGTAAAACTTATAAAATTCTACTTAGAATAATGTTTTGAAATCGTTGAAGGAAATGCTAAATTTCAGTTACAGGTTGGTGAAAATAAAGATGCAATTCCCTCCCCATCCAACTTCATGGACCCCAGGTTAAGAACCCCTGCTTTAATCTATAGACAAGTTCCGATCTCTAACGGTGGAGGGAATTTCCACACTGGGAGTTCACCAGACTAATGAACTCATAGTTTTAAACAACATATAAATTATTGTCATTGAAAAGTATTTTCCTCCCAAGAAAGGCTATCAGTAGATACGGGATGCTAGGAAAACTGCATGTAACAGGTAGATTAAGAGGAGCATGATGGCGTTGGCTAGGGGGAAGGAAATTCTAGAAGGCAATCTTAGGGCAATGAGGGGGCTGGTAACATAATATGTTCAAGGCTTGAATTGGATTTTATTCACTACATTTGGAAAAAGCCTTGGAGTCTGGATTTGAGTCTCAGTTTTACCACTTCCTAGTGGTGTGACCTTGGGCCTCAGTTTTCTTGTCTATATAATGGGGGCAATAGTTGCACTATGTATCTCTCAGGGTTGTGCTGTGTAAACTTTACAGCACTATGGGAATCTGAGGAGGTGGGAGTTCCCTACCAATCATAGGAGAATATAGATTTATCACTGGAAGGGACTTCAGAGGTCATCTAGTCCAAATCCCTCATTTTACAGATGAGGAAACTAAGGCCCAGAGAAGGTGGCTTTCCCAATGTCTCATGGGTAGTAAGCTTCAGAGGTGGATTTGAACCCACACCATCTAGTTCAATCTCTTTGTTTTTATAGATGAGTAAACTGAGGCCCTGAGAGGGAGCAGGATTTTCCCAAGGTGAAGGTAAAAGTGCTAGGTTATAAGCCCACCTCCAAATCCATTATCCTGCACTAGACAATGCAATGGAAAGTTATTTGTAAATAGTAAAGCATTACAGAAATGAGAACTTCTGCTGTGTTATTTGTACAGCTTGACATGTAAATAGTCAATGCCCATGGAAGCCCCACTCTCTGATAAAATGGGTGCTGACGCCCTTAAGAAAACTGCCCTCGTCACAAAGAGAGGGATAGGGATCAGGGAGGCCTAGATGCTGAGACTGTAGCTAGTACAGATACTCCTCCAGCTGGGCTGGGCATTGAAGGACAGAGTGAATAGCCAGTTTATACTAGGAGTTAAGAATAACATCAGCATCGTTGCGGTTGCCAGAGCCTTAAAGGGTGGAGGTGCTCCCTTTCTGCCCGTGGATGAGCTTGGAAGCAAAGCCCAAGAATCTGCAGATACTCACCTGCTGAGCGTACTCGTTAAACTGGGTCATAAAGGTAGAGACATCCAGGCACAGATCTCTGCTCAGTGCCTGCAAGATGTCATGGGAGCTCTCCAGGCTGTGCAGATTTGAGGTCACAATCAGATGTGCCATCTGCCTGGGGGTCTTGACATCCAGGCCTTGAACCTAAGGGGACAGATCCAAGCAGGAGAGCAGAAAGCTAGAGATATGCAGATAGGAAGAAGAAACTTACTCTTCATCCCATCTAAATCCTCCCTCCTTCACTTCTTTCAGGCAGCTTTCCCTGCCTGGTATTAATCTTTGTTGTGATCTCTTGGAACACTTAGCTGAAAACATATAATGTAGCACTTTATTCTACCTTTGCTACTTTGTCTTAATTCTCTAACTATTTTGTATAGGTGAGTGTTAATTTTCAAACATTTGAAAGGGTGTTTCATGAAAGAAGGAATAGATCCATGCTGCTTAGCTCCAGAAAGGAGAAATTGAGTGCCATGTTTCTTCCTATATCTCTTGTCTCCCCTTTTGGTTAAACATGGAGCTAAGCAAACAGTGGACAACAGGAAAGGCTCTGATAGGCTATCACACATAATATTGTGTATTAGAGATTGTTATGCTCTCAGTAGATAGGAAGCTCCTTGAGGAAAGGGATCTTGCCTTGTCTAAACTTTGCATTTCACTTTGCTCTGAAACATAGGTGGCTTATAGTGTTTGTTGACCTGAATCGGCTAATTTGTGATAAGGGTTTTCTTTCCTGCCCACCACCCCCACCCCCAAAGAGAGGAGAGAAAATGTTTTTTTGTTGTTGTTGTTGTTGAAAAAAATAACTTAAGGCTGTATCCACATCATTGATGGTTCATGGTTTTGGAATCAGGGTATCTGGAGTCTAGACTAGATCTGGCCCTAACCTCCAATCTGACCATAGACAAATCTCTTTCCCTCGCTGGGTCTCAGTTTTTCCACTGTGGTTCTATGGTTCTAGAACCTGGCTGGGCCCCCTGACTGCCAGCCTAGAACTTTCTATTGCCTGAGAGAGGAGGAGCCTGCCTAGGACCCTGTCTGATGGATTGGCAAAGGCTGTCCTGCTGACTCCAGAGTTTGGGTAACATACACTGGCCTCCTCCCTGGGTTGCTCTACAGGTTCTATCTTGCTATGTGCCTGGTGTAACATGGGGATTAGCCAGAGGCAGGGAGGGTCCTGGGGAGAGGCTGCTCCAATGCCCTATCTCTGCTCCATGACCTGGATTGAATTACAAGCAAGTCACAAAGCTCACCTGCTTTCTCTGGCCCAGATGTGATAGGTATCAGCTCCCAAGAACTGATTTTTAAGTTTTTAGCATAAGCATTTATATGTTGGAAACTGGAAAATACTACAAATCAGGGCTTGATCGTCTAGACTTTAAAAACTGACGGAGACAACATTAATAACGCAGACTAACCTTAGGAGTGTGTTGTGCATATATCTTTCCCCTAGAAAGTTGGTTGTTAAATATTTACTAGCACATCTTTGCCAGAGAGGATCCTAAGAAAAACAGTGATGTGATTTACTCATGGAAAAATAGTTAGAACTGTACTCACTCTATTTTTTTTTTGAGGGGGCTAGGCAATGGAGTTAAATGACTTGCCCAGGGTCACACAGCTAGTAAGTGTTATGTGTCTGAGGCCAGATTTGAACTCAGGTCTTCCTGAATCCAGGGCTGGGACTCCATCCACTGTGCCATCTAGCTTCCCCTGTACTCACTCTAAAAGATGTGAAAAGACCTTGTATTGTTAGCACTTTGTTTTGCATTTTTCCGTATAATATACTTATATAATATTGTATATTAGAGATTATTATGCTCTCAATAGACTGGAAGCTCCTTGAGGGCAGGGATCTTGCCTAATGTAAACTATTCATTTCACTTTGCTCTGAAACATAGGTGGTTTATGGTGTTTGTTGACCTGAATCGGCTAATTTGGGTTCTCTCTCTCTCTCTCTCTCTCTCTCTCTCTCTCTCTCTCTCTCTCTCTCTCTCTCCCCCCCCCCCGCCTCTGCCAATGGAGAGAGAGAAAATAGATTTTTGTTGAAAAAAGTAAAATTGAATTGATTTGCCTACTCATTTGGGAGGTCTTCCTGTGGTATTTTCTGAGCTCCTTAGACCTTAAAATTGGTTTTGTTGGGTACATGGATGTCCAGGCTTAGCTAGTTTGATATAAGTTCTCATTACTTCTCCTTTCTTTATGGTCTTCATAGTTTCATAGATTTAGAATTAGAAAGGATCTCAGAGATTAACTAATTCAATGTCCTCATTTTAGAGATGAAGAGATTGAGCCCCAGAGAAATTAAGTATCATGAGCAAAGGATACAGAGCTAGGATTTGAAATCATACCCTTTGACTCAAGCACTCTTCAGTGTTCCACATTGGGCTCAGAATGGGCAAGGTCAGGATGATAAAGGACAATGCTTGTTGCCCAGGGTAGGTTGCCCTGGGAGTGTAGATGTATCCTTGCAAAATCACAGGTTACTGTTCACTGATTGATCAGAAAGTGAGAAGATACGGAACTAGGTCCCCCAAGTTGTTCTGCTCCATATTCCTCTTTTCCTTCATTCACTCTTACCACTAATTATAAAGGTGATACTATTAAATCAGGGAAGCAATGGTGTGGTGGATAGAGGGCTTGCCTCAGAGGTGGGAAGACCTGGGTTCTAGTCCCACTTCTGACACATACTCTGACCCTGGGCAAGTTATTTAACTTCTCAGTATCTTAGGTGACTCTCTAAGACTATAAATTAAATAATACTTGCTGTTCAGTATTAGCATAGGGAGTTTCCTATGGCAATGAAATCAGGTCCAGACCAAAAATTCAAGGAAGACATTCTCTGTCTTTAAGAAACTATTGCCCCATGTGAAAGGCAGGTCATCTGTAAAATTGTCATGTTTTCTGTTAGACTATAAGTTCTTTGAAGGCAAGGAACATCTTTCTTTCCATCTTTGTTTCCCCAGCACCTAGCCCAGTGACCAGTACCCTAGTAGGTGCTTAGTAAGTGTTTGTTGGATTTGAATTTGTTGAATTCCCATCTTGGCATTGCATCCTACAGCAATTAGCAGTGTCCTTCTAGGGTAATTTGACAGCGTTTCTGGCCCTGGGTTCTATCTCTGATGAGGGGCCCTGATGAGAACAGGTAGTAGGAGAGTGCAGTATTCTTGTGGTATTTATCCTCACAGGTTAGGGCTGCATCTTATATACCCCAAAGCATTTCTCAATCAGTCAGTGCCTATGGATGCACTGTGGAGGGATTTCATGTAAAGTGGAAAGAACATTGGCTTTGGAGCAAAAGGTTCTGGATTCCAATTCCACTCCTGATGCTAACTCACTGTGTGATCTTGGACTAGTTACTTCAACTCTCTGGGACTCAGTTTCCCAATCTGCAAAGTGAGGGATTTGGATCAGAAAGTCCATTTCCACTCCAAATCTATGATCCTAAGATGCTTTTGGACCCTGTTGATATGTCCAGGCTGTGCCGTCTACTAGGGAAAGGAGCTCACAGTGTTTACTCCCTCTGCGCAAAGGAGAGTGGCCAGCCCATGATTCACCTGAAATTGTCTCCTTCCAACTTCAAGAGGGCCTTGGTCCTAGTGTCCGGGGGTTTGGTGAACAAGAACCATGATTGTAAAAGTGACAATATTAAATCAGGGAGGCAGAATGGTGTAGTGGATAGAGAGAGGGCTTGTCTCAGACTTCCTTCTAATTCCCTTATGAGATTCTGAGAGATCTTTTGCACTTTATCCTATCCTTCCATGCTGAAAAGTCCTGATTTTAGTGACAGATTATGGAATCTCTGGGACTATAGAGTTCATCCAATCCAACCCTCTTTCTTTCCTTTTACCCTCTCTCCTTACTGCCACGTAGGAAGTCCCTCTATAGTGTGTCTCTGATAGACAGTCATTCATCCTCTGCTGAACACTTCCTGTCATGGTGGAGAGCTCAATACCTCATGAGCCACACTGTCCCACTTTTGGACAGCTCTCTCAGGAAATTCTTCTCACTCAACCTCTTTCAGTCTCAGTCTCTTCATCTGTATGATGGGACTAATAATAGCATCTACGTCACTGGGTTGTTGTGAGGCTCAAATGGGATCAATACATATTTGTGATTTGCAAACCTTTAAACACCATATGAATTTTAGCTATTATTATCACTAGTGTTATTTCAATTAAGTAGAAAACTGCCTCTCCATAGCCCTAATTGAATAAAATTTCACTAACATTTGTTGTTGTTGTTTAGTCATTTCAGCAATGTCTGACCCATTCCGGGATTTTCTTGGCAAAGATACTAGAGCAGGTTGCCATTTCCTTCTCCAGCTCATTTTACAGATAAAGAACTAAGACAAAAGTGACTTGCTAGGGAGTATATCTAAGATGAGTCTTCCTGATTCCAAGCCCAGGGCTCTATCCACTGTGCCAACTAGCTGCCACCAACATTTACCAAATGCCTATGGGGCAGAATAAGTCTAATCTTTCTTCCGTATAACTATCTTTCCATATAGCTACCTGAAGACTGGCTTCCCCTTCCCCATGAATCTTCCTTTCTCTATACTAAATCTCCCTAGTTTATTTCTGTTTTTTTCTTTTTTTCTTTTTTTTCTTCTTTTTAGGCAATTGGGGTTAAGTGACTTGCCCAGGGTCACACAGCTAGTAAGTTTCAAGTGTTTGGTCTGAGGCCAGATTTAAACTGAGTGCTGGTGCTCTATCCACTGCACCACCTAACTGGCCCCCCCCCAATTTATTTCTTTGATCCCTGTTTGGCCTAGTTTTGATTCCCTTCACCATCTTGTACCTTTTTCTGGAAAATCAAGTTTATTAATAATGGCCCCCCTCTAATGTGGTGCTCAGAATACTCCAGAAGTATAGTTTGACTTCGTATCACTTTTCCTCCTTACCCAAGTGACTCCCGGCATCTCCCAGTCCATTCAACTTTCCCTTCCAAATCTCCCCCAACTCTTTGATACCTCTTAAGTCATTTTAGTTCAACCAGTAGCATATGGTCTAGTTAAGCTGGTGATGATGGTTTGAATGCTCCCAGAAGTAGTACAGACTGGGGAGGTTATAAGCCCTGAGAGGGCAGCATGTTCTAGGAGAGTTTAAAAGTGCTAGGACAAGACTAAATTTGTATTTGACTCAGGGAGGCTCCTGAGGGGACAAATGTAGGAAGATTGGGGACTGTGGTTCCACTTTTAGATGCAATTGACTGAAAACAATGAGAAGGGGCCCTAGGTGGCTGCTAGTATTGGTATTTACTCAAATAAAAAAAAAACCCAATCCCTTAAATAAATGCCATTATGAACTTAGCCAGTCAGATTGTGGAAGTAGCTTTATTGGCGAGTATAAGAAACAGGTACATGGTAGATGGCAGCTCTGTGTGGTACAGGGAACATCTGGGAGGGCACACAGCCGGCCAGATGTGTGATACACACTCAACTATAGACATAGAATTTTAGAATCTCCAAGTTGGAAAGGACCTTAGAGGTCATCACCTGGTCTAATTCATAGCTGAACAGGAATTTTCTCTGTAGCCTCCTCCAACAAGGAGCCAGTCAACTTCTGATTGAACGCATCTAGTTCCCTATTTTCTGACGTATCTCTGAATTATTGAGTTCTTTTTCATATTGGACCAAAAGCCATCTCCTTATAATTCCCACCCTCTGATCCTGGTGCTTCCCTCTGGAACCTTCATTGTTGCCTCATAGGAGTCTAGGTACCTAATGAGAGATGGTCCCTATGGAACATTCTATACTGCCTGATTTTGGGGCCCCCACCCTCCTTCCTACTGTCATTGGCCTGAATTTCCAGGTTACACTTAGCCATGGAATGTTAGGAAAAAATAGATTTGAGCTACTAACAAAATCAATTCCCAGAAGTGACATGTCTCAGTCTCTTCCCCAATTAGAATCCTTGTTACTCAGGGCCAAGCCCACTTCTCCTTCTCTTGCTCCAAAAACACCCAGCACAAAAATGAGTATACAGCAGGGCTCTGTAAGGATTTATCAAATTGAACAGCATTTCACCTGAAGTGACTTGTTCTCACCAGAATGTTGGAATAACCGAATTCATTGCTACTGATTTCACTAAAACTGAGGGAGATGCCTCTGGTAGGTTTGAAAGATGAGTGAGTTGAAAATAAAAAATCAGATAAATGCAGAATGTCAGAAGTGGAAGGTACCTTAATGTGCCTCTAGTCTAACATCTTCATTTTACAGATGGAGAAACTGAGGCCCATGCTGGCTAAAAGTGATCCTCAAAATCCCACTTATTCTATGAAATTTAAAATATGAATTTAAGCCTGGAATGATGGAAAGCATTCCCAGATAGGCTGTATAGGTTGGGCACATGCCTCAGGCTTTAGAGATGGTCTATGGAGAGACTATCTCCATTATACTATGACATGAGGTCTGTCCCAGTCTCAGAGTATCAGGAGATATAGAAGCAGGATCTGATAGGTGCATAATCAAGAGACTGTTCCAGAGATGAGACAAAGAAGAATTTCTTGGATAGCTCCTAAAGCAAAGAAATAACTCTTATTTTAAATGGGCAACCACTATTCCCTTTGCCACCTTAGTCCAATCTGATTCTTGCCCTCAGGACCAGTCTGTTTAGAGACATCCATGCTAAGACTACAGGAGGAGTAATACTGTCCCAACCAGGAAAAGGAGAGAGGTGGGGCTCTCTGGGCTCTGCTAGGAGCAAAGCCTTTGACTCTAAGTGCTGAGACTGGTGCTGTTGGTGAGGCACCGACTGGAAAAACTTACTCCATCGAAGTTTGGGTAAAGAGCCTGCAGGTCACTGAGCAGGGCCTGTGAGCAGAATGGGCCCAGGTTCATCTGCAACCAGTCCCTGGTGTCAGACCCTTGTCTGTTACATGCTGAGCCTGTGGGACCAGAGATGGGTAGTTAGAGAGATTCCAGTATAAACCACTGTGTGTGTGTGTGTGTGTGTGTGTGTGTGTGTGTGCCCAGCACACCCTGCTGAAATGCTGGCTGTATCCCTTTTTTGGGGAAGAACCTGGGTTCTGGTTTCAGCTTTTTCACTAACTCCATATAACCTGGGATTTTACCTCACTGGTATCATCTGGAAAATGGGTATCAGGAAGGCCAATGAGATGGTGTAGGGGGAAGTATAAAGTATAGGGGAAATGTATAAAGTTCTAGGTGTGCTAAAGCCCCACTGTAATCTAGCTACCAGAGAGACTGAGGCTGGTAGATGGCTTGGAACTGCAGTGAGCTAAGCTGATAGTGTCCTCACTAAGTTTGGCATTAATGTGGTGAGCACTCAGGCTGCCTAGGGAGAGGTGAATTGGCTCAGGTCAGAAAGGGAGGTCAATGCCTCCTAATACCAATTAGTAGTGAGACTGGACTTGTGAGGTTAGGTTAGACAGGGAGAGGGCCAGTCTTAAAAAAAAAAAAGGAAAAGGGGGTGGGGAGAGAAAAAGAGAGAAGAGAAAAGAAAAAGAGAAAGAGAGGAGAGAGGTGAGGGGGAGGGAGAGGAAGAGAAAAAGGGGTGAAAGAGGAGAGAGAGAAGGAGAGAAAAGAGATGGTGGAAAGAGAGAGGGGAGAGAGAAAGAAGAAAGAAAAAAGTACTTTATAAGTGGTAATCTGTAAACTTAAAAGCATTCTGGAGAATGTAGTTTTTTTAAACTAAAACTTTGTTTAAAAAACCTATTGTTTATTAGTACTATCATCATTGTGAGCATACATCATTGAGTTAATGGTTAGGGATTTTAGGTCCTACCGGTCTCAGCAAATTGTGCAGCCAAGTACTTCTTCTGAAATCCGTATACAGCTTGTTTCTGCTGAGGCGACAATTCCTGGAACACTCCCCCAATGGCTTTTATGCTAGAAAACAAACCACCAGATTGGTGATCAGGTTTAAGCACCTTACCAAGGTCTTCCTCTCAAAAGATCCTCCCAGCTCATCTGTACCCAGCAGGCACCAGAATGAGAAAGCTAAGAAAAATGGAAAAGAAGAAATTTTCAGGGAGTAACACAATGTCACCTACTTGCTAACAATGATATTGCAGCCCAGCTCTACTGACCATTGCAAATATCTCAACAACGGGAGGAAAGGAGTCTAGCTTTAGGAGGTCTGAGTTAGAGGATCTCTAGGAATGAAAGAAATTCCTTGGGATTGAGGTTAGACAATTAAAGAAAAAAGGAATATTAGTGGGAGAGGGGATGCAGAGTTGAGAAAAGAGCTAAAAAATTCTCACTGTCATATAAAGTAAAACTAGCAGGCCTAGCTTATGGATGTCTTGTAGTGCTCAGTGTGGGTACTGTCTTAACTTCTTTTTTGTCAAAAGTTTTCAAATCAGTTTTAGGAGATGTTTTCCTTTCCACAATGGGAATATGTCCTTAATTTCATAGTTAAAGTCAGTGTGAAAATAGGATTCCCTTTACACTTATTTCTTAAATCATAGGATTCATAACAGGAAGGGACCGTAATAGGAAGAGATCATCTAATTTAGTGCCCCTTCCATTTTACAGATTGAATAAATTGGGGTTCAGGGAAGTTAAATGAATTGACTAAAGTCATACAGGTAGTACGTAGAAGAGCCAGGACATGAACCCAAATCTTCTGTCTCCAAATCTAATGTTCTTTTGACTAGATGGCAGCCATTCTATCTAGTGAGGCACACCTGTATGTGTATGAATAGTGTATCCTTCTGGGTATTGCTAGAGGGCAGGGATGGGATCTTAGGCACACGCAGTGTCTATATAGGAAACCACGGCAAACTTAAAATGTATATAAATAAATGCAGCTATGATTACTATCAATAGTCCAGGCTCATTGTCATCAAACACATATATTCAGAAGAAGACTTAGAAGTCTTATGTGACCAGTAGCTCAGTATGAATCATTGGTGTAAGATGATGTGATATGGTGGCCAAAAAAAAGCCTCACGATCTTGGGCTTCATTAATAGGAGAGAAGCGTCAAATTATATAATTGAAAGGAATAGCAGGTTGTACATAGTAGATTTGTAGTTTCATGTGTAATCATCTTTTTTTGGGTATTCTGCTATGTTATGTAAATGCATATTTTATTTCTTAAGTTCAGAATAAAATAAATAAAATTTAAAAATGAAAAAAAGAGGGAATGAAGCCCCCTCTGCTCTGATCAGGCCACACCTGACTATTGTAGCCAGTTTTGGGCATAACATTTTAGAGGAGCGAGTCAGAGCCTATCCAAAGGAGTGCAATTAAGATTATGAGGGGACTTAACAACATACAAATACCTATGGAAGAAACTGAGGTATATTTTTTTAGCCTGAACAGAAGATTTAGGGTGTGGGGAATGAGGAGCACATGGAATCATTGGACTTTGAGCTAGAAGTGACATTGCAGAACATTTGGTCCAAATTTTTTATTTTATAGACAATGATTTGTCGTTGTTCAGTCATTTCAGTTGTGTCTAAGTCTTTGTGACCCCATTTGGGGTTTTCTTGGCAGAAATACTAGAGTGGTTTACCATTTCCTTCTCCAGCTCATTTTGCAGATGAGGAAACTGAGGCAAACAGGGTTAAGTGACTTGCCCAGGGTCACACAGCTAGTAAATATCTGAGGTAAAATTTGAACTCAAGAAAATGAGTCTTCCTGACTCCAGGCCCAGTGCTCTATTCACTGAACCCTACTTAGCTACCATAGATGACGCTAGTTATATTCAAATATTTGAAGGACTATCATGTGGAAGAAAGATTATACTTATCTTGCTGGCCCTGGAGAGTAGGACCAGAAGCAATGATGAGAATTTACAAAGAGATCAAAGTCTAGGAATGGAATTGGTTTCTTTGAAATGAAGGGATCTCTCTAGTACTGGAGGTATTTACACAGATATGGGATGATCCTTCATTAGGGAGAATAAGATTTTGTTTTTTTGCTAGGAGGGAAATTGGACACCATTACCTCTAAGATTCTTCTAGTTCATGTTCTATGGGTCTCCATAGCAACAATGAGTGTCCCTAGCTCTCAGGGCCAGTACAGTACTTACAAGGCCTGGTAATGTGAACATGTCATGGAGAGTGGCAGCATCTCTAGGCTGGTGGAGTTCACCCCTGGGAGCAGGACTTTCAGGCGGGCAAACCACTCTTTGGCTTTTTCTGAGGACATGGTGGGGACCTCTGGAAAGATCATATCTGCTGCCTTGAACATCATGACGTCCTGTACTTTGGAGTTGGCTAACAAGTCTGGGCTCTGGGATTGCATCCAGACATGAAAGAGAAAAAAAAGACATACATGGTAAGCCCATGCATATTTAACCTGGATCAGATGATGGTACAGCTGTTGTTCTGGGGGACACTGGTTAACTGGTCTTGTATGAATGGGTGCATTTACCCAGGCAATAAGTACACATATTGCAGAATGGCTGAGACCTGGGATATATTCTGGTGACTCGGATATGGTCTGGCCCCTGCTTACCATGGCAACCATCTTTTCCTCTAAACTTCAACCCACACCCATTGTTCCCACAAGGAGCAGAAGTGATACAACCTCAGCCTCGGTCTTGCCAGACTAGCCTCTTCACTGTTCCCTGAAACATGCTGAGGTCCTTCTTGTCTCTGGACCTCAGCTCAAGCTATTTTCTCTGTTCCTCTGTGCCCATTCAAATCTTCCCTGCCCTTGAAGCATTCACACAGCTGGGCAGTTGCACAGACAGAAAAGAATCCATTCTCTGCAACTGATTTGCTATGTGACTTAAGCAAGTACCTCCCCTCTCTGGGCCAGGGGTAGTAGTAATAATACCTCCCATTTGTATAGTGCTTTAACGTTTGCAAAATACTTCACACAGGGTATCCTAAAAGGCTCAGTGCACTAAGCCTGCATAGACTTGTACCTCCTAACAAGCCTTCCGCAGAGGCACTACAGGTATTATTCTCCCCATTTAATAGAAGAGGAAATTGAGGCTCAGAGAAGTTAAATGAATTGACAGTGGTCACATAGTAGCTGATCAGAGGGGAGATTTGAACTTAGGTTTTCCTGATTCCAAGGCCAGCACTCTCTCCTATATGGAACTTTGTCCAGAAAACCCATGGGTGAATCCCAAATCAGGTCATGGCCTCTGAGAATGAAAGTCAGTATTCATTTTAGAGGAGTCAGATACTCCAGTTCTAGCAAGAATTAGGGACCAAGAAAGTCCAGAAAAGCATAATGGGGTAGAGTAGCTTAGAAAGTTTGGGTACCATTCTGACTAGGATGGTATGTTTTTCTTTTATATAGACTTCTAATCGCCTTACCCTGGAGTCTTATTTCTGAGTATCTTCTCTTTTCCCTTTTAATTAAACCCTAGGAAATCCACTTTCGTGATCTGGGATATGCTGCAGACAAGATATGCAAGAAGGGAAAGGGGGAGCCAAATTAGGCCAGTCATAGCAGGAGGAAATGCTAATTAGAGAGCAGGTGTGGTAGATCTCTGGCTGGCTGCAGGGACTGAGAAGGACTAAGAACAGAATGTGGTTCTCTTTCTCACCTCATCCTGTTAGATTTGGTATAGAACAGGGATTCTTCACCTGAGGTGCCTGAACTGGGATTTTAAAAATATTTTGATAACTTTATTTCAATAAAATTGGCTTCCTTTGCAATCCTGAGTATTTTATGCATTTAAAAACATTATTCTGAAAAGGAGTCCATAGGCTTCACCAGACTCTCAAAGAGTTCTAGGATATAAAACCCTTGGGGCTCCCTCTGATTAGAGACAGAAGGAGAGCTCCTCCCGGATCCTCCATTTAAGGGGGTTGCCCACACCAGCCATCTCTTCATTCCCCACCTTGTTGCATCCATTAAGACTTTATCATATTCGCGTGCGGGCTATCCTTTGTCCTCTCCTTTTTTGGCTTTTTTCCCCCTTCTTTAATTGTCTCCTTCCATTAGAATGTGAGCTCCTGGAGTACAGGGACTGTCTTTAGCCTTTTTTTTTTTTTTTTTGGTATCCCCAGTGCTTAACACGGGGCCTTGTACATAGCAGGCACTTAATAAATGTTTATTGATTAAGTGACTGATTGAATGGTGAAGGTGAGCACTTGGTAAGTAAACCCAAGGGGAAGAGAAGGGTAATAGGAGAAAATAAAGGGGAGTAGGAGAAGAGGAAATCAGAAGGTTAGGAAAGAGAGAGGTGGGTTTTACTTGTCCCCTGGAAGGAAGGTCCCAGCTGAGGGTAATCAGGGGCTTACCTTCAAAATGAAGGTGTTAAAGTCTTCCAGGTAGGAGGAGAGGTGGCTCAATGGGTCCTTCCTGGTCCTGATGGCCTCAAGGACAGAACCAGATGCAGAGGGACTATAGATGATGCCGCTGTGGGTGGTGATTTGGGCTAGGACACTGTCTGAGACAAGGTCCAGGGAATCCAGCTGGAAATTGGTCATTGGTTGGGACAGACAAAAAGAGCAGATTTTCTTGAGAATGAGTATGCATGTGTGTGTGCCTTCAAGTGTGTGATTGCGAAAGTGTGAGTATGTGTATATGCACACACAACCAATATATATGGTTTGTTATATTGTTTCTGTGAGTATGTTTGCAGAAGTGACTGGGCATGGGTGGTATTAGTAGTACATACATTCCCATGTGTCCCAAAAGGATTTGTGTGACTGTATGCATGAACTGTATGTATATACGAAATGTATGTTTGCCCAGCCTGTGGGCAGAGTCCTTTCCAACCATTGTTATCAATAGGTCTCTCTCATGCTTTATTTTGCTAATCCTATCATCTAACAGATTTAACTATTCCCCCTAGTTTCATGAAATCCACAAAATGGATGTGTGGCTTCTCTGCCTTTTTTCAAGTCATTGGCCCTGATCTGTTCAACTTTTAAAAATTAATCACAGAGTCCTGTGGCACTCCACTTGATACATGTCCAAGCTGCCGTTGGGTTCAGCCATTTCTGAACCTACTAAATTGTACTATCTCCTAGTCCATAACTCTATCTTTTCCAAAAGGATAACTTTGAGAGACTAGCAAACACCTTGCTGAAATGCAGGTAAACTGAGTCTATGACGTTCCCCTAATCTGCTAATCTTTGTTATTGATCAGTCATTTCAGTCATGTCCGACTCTTTGTGACCCCATGTGGGGTTTTCTTGGCAGAGATACTTGAGTGGTTTGCCATTTCCTTCTCCAGCTTGTTTTACAGATGAGGAACCGAGGCAAACAAGGTTAAGTGACTTGCCCAGGGTCATACAGCTAGTAAGTGTGTGAGACTGGACTTGAACTCATGAAGATGAGTCTTCCTGATTCTAAGCCCAGTTCTCTCTCCACTGTACCACCTAGCTGCCCTGATCTGCTAATTGAGTATCTTTGTCAGAAAAGAAATTGGGGATAATTTGATCTGACTTATTCTGTATGAACCTGGCACATAGTGATCACCAGTTCTTTTTTCAAATCTTCATAAAGTCATCCCTTTAATGATAGACTCAAGCATTTTTCCAGGAGTCCCCATGAAAACCCATGTTTACACTGCTTTTCCTACATTACTACATTCTACTTCACGATTAGGTTAATTGGCTGAACTGTGAGCCCTTGAATCCCTGAATAGCAAGGGTGCCAGAATGTTACTCACCCCCTGGAAATCACCCTTCAGCGTAATAAGGTCTTTGTAAGAGGCATAAGAGCTGAAGGTACCAAAGTATTTGCGCAGCCACAGCTGGTCAGTCACAGCATCCTGGGCACAAGCAGAGCCTGTGGGAAGAGGGAGGGTTGGGAGGGTTCCTGGAGCCAGCTCTGTCCCAAGACAGAAGGTGGTGGCAGTACTGAGATGATCAGTACTGAGATGTCAGTCAGGGAGATGAATGGATGAATGATGAAGCCTGTGACCTAGCTCCTTGGGTTCTGTAACATGACCTTAGATCTAGAGAGGAAAGGGGCCATCTAGATCTGTAGGTAGCAGGGCACATCTCCTATCTACATTCTGTAGGTACCAGGAGCTGTTTTTTTTAATTGCAGCAGAAACTGGTAGCATTCCATCCTCCACCCCATTCTTCAGAGCAGATTCCATCCCCAAAGACCATGCCCACTGCCTACTGCTGTTGATGGCAGGGAAGAGAGTGAGCTCACCCTCATGGCTGGGGCTAAGGGTTTGAGTTAGCTCAGAGAGGAGGATTTGAAGGCTATAGGTCCATTCCTGCCTTAGATCAGAATAGAGTCACAGTTCTGGTGACCATGTATTAGAAACCCTACAGAATAAATTGGACTGGGGGCAGGGAATCTCAGGGTGATCACACCCTGGGCTGCTTTGCCTAGGGAATCTCTGACCCTTTCCTTAGCAGACCCCCCTTCTGGGCACCTGTGTTTTGCTTCTGGGTCATCAATACTTGTTGCACAAAAGCATAAATGTCTGCCGGATGTTCATATGTTCCATTAGCCTTGTGGGTGTCCAGGACTTGGACCCTGGAAAGGACAGGGTTAATTCATTAAGGGATGTGAGAGGCAATTTTATTGGCTGTTCCTCAGGCTGGGACTAAGCTCATTGATTTTGCTATTCCTGCTGAACTGACCCCTGAAGTCTCTGTATGGGAGGAAGCCTTTGACAAATTCATTTACACTATGATGTGAGGGACTGAATGGGTAACTCCTCCCAGAGGAGCTTACATTTCAAAAAGAGGAGTGGTGAGGGTGATATTTAACCCCACTAGCAAGTGATGGTGCACCATGGGGACTCTTAGAATAGAACTCTATACACACACTTCTCCTACTAAGAAATCATCAATGCCTTCCAATTGCCTAAAAAGGCAGCCTGGTACAATAGGAGCATTAATTATCTCTGGAGTCAGAAGCCCTGGGTTCAAATCCTACCTTTGATGCTTACTATCTGTGTGACCTTGGGTAAGTAACTTAACTTCTCTGGGCCTCAGTTTCCACATCTATAAAGTGAGGAGGATTGGACTAGCTGGTATCAGAGGCCCTTTTTCTGTCTAGATCCAAGAGCCTATGACAGAATCCAAACTCCTTAATCTGGCATTCAAGACCCTCTAAAATCTGATCCCCAATTTACCTTTCTATCTCTTACTATTCTCCCTCAATCATGTTCTATGCTCTGGCCAGGCTGGTCTCCTCTCTCGTTCCAATTCTAATTTCAGATGATCCAAGTTCTTTCTGCCCCAGGACCACTCCAGAACACAGTGCTTTTCCCCTCCTCTGACCTCATTCATCCCTGTGGCCCTCATTTGGTCCTCGGTATATAAGACCTGGTGACATCAGTTGTCTTTCTGTGTCTACACAATTTGTCTCCCCAACTACTAAGGCTCATGCTTTGTCTCTCCACAAAAGTGACTCATACGGGACTGGACACACAGTAGGTACTTAGTAAGAGCTATGGAATTAACTGTGCTTGACTGGCTAAACAATGTCCTGGCCCCTGGTTATTTTCCAGCCCTCATCACCGCCTCCAGGTTCACCCAGGCTCACAGGGCAGCTAGGGAGTCGCATGACATGTCGATGGGTAAAGAGCCAAAGTTCTGAGCATCCAGGCCGGTCAGGAAGAGGGCCAGTTTGTCTCCGAACCAGGCAGTATACTCCTCCGGGCCAAACGTCAGCATTGACGGGCTCAGGTGGCAAAGGATTTGCCCCAAGATGGTGCGTCCTACTTCGGCATTCGGAAGCTGGGTGAGGTGATGCTGTGGTCAGAAGAGTCCAAAAGCACAAGAGATATTAGGGTCAGCCTGACCCCTGGGTTCAAAGGAGAGGTCTGGAGCCTGGGAAAAACAGGGATACGGACATGGTCTGGGCAAGGCTGCTCTATGATTGGGGCACGGTCCTGGGGCTAAGATCAGGGGTTTGGTGAGGGAGCTGATTCTTCCCTGACTGATCCATGTCACTGGACATAAGGAGGACCAGGCAAAGGCAGCAAAGGCTTGCCACCTTTCTAGATACGTTCCCCTGGCCCTGTGGGTTAGCACTCAGGGCTCCCTTACCTCCCGGGCCTCCTTGTTGAAAGCATCCAGGAATGGTCCAATGTCAGCAGTATTCAGGGATGCCATGACCCTGCCCACTCGGACACTGTCTCTCAGGATGTCGCTTGTCACTAAGAACCCTGCTACTTGTTCAGGGCTGAGGGTGCTCAGTGTGTCCATCTGGGGAGAGGCATGGAAGATGGGGTTAGGAGAGGGTAGGAGTAAAGGAGATGGGGAGTCCAACTGGGGGAAAACATATGTAAAACTCTTGGTAAATTGTTATTATTTTTTTTAGGGCAATGGGGTCAAGTGACTTGCTCAGGGTCTCTCATCTAATAAGTGTCTGAGGCCAAATTTGAACTCAAGTCTTTCTGACTCCAGGGCCAGTTCTCTATCTACCGCACCACCTAGCTACCCTTCTTTTTAAATCGTAATGAGCTACGTAAATGCTAGTTATTATTAGCGTCTTTTGAGCACTGGAGAAAGGGAAGACGTGTCTCACCTTTTTTTTTTTTTTTTAATATGAGGCAATTGGGGTTAAGTGACTTGCCCGGGGTCACACAGCTAGTGAGTGTTATGTGTCTGAGGCCGCATTTGAACTCAGGTCCTCCTGACTCCACTGCGCCACCTAGCTGCCCCTGTTGTCTTACCTTTTGCAGCAAGTCTTTTCGTCCTCTTCCCTCTGAGATCACCTTTCCCTTATATATATCTTGTATGATCATTTTTTTGCGTGTTTTCTCTCCCATTAGAATGCAAGCCTGAGGGTAGGTGATGTTTTTGCCTTTCTTTGTATCCCCAGGGGTTGGCATGGTCTGGCATATAGGAGGTGCTTAATAAATGCTTACAGAGAGGCATAGGGAAAGTCTAAGGAGAGGCCATCAGAATGACCAAAGGAATGGCAAAGAGGACCAGTAAGAGATGGTGTTGAACAATCTGGTGACTTAACAATTGCAAGTCTCTTCAGGTTGTCCCAGGTCCCTTTGGGCTCAGCCAGCCTCATTTTTGTGGAGCAAACAGGAGGGAGTAGGTTCAAAATGGGTGAGGATTGAGCTAGATATTAGGACCTCCCCGGGGTCAGAGTGGTAAATGCTGGAAAGGGAGTTTGAGGAATGTCTTCCTGGACAGCTTCTAAAATACACTCATGATGCAACTGGGAGGCAGGAGACTAACTCATATGACCTGCTGAGGAGGTCACTTCTGAGAGCTTTGGTACTACTTACAGCATTGAAATCTCGATACAGTTTGACAAGATCATTGTAGGAGGCTAGGGAGCTGAAGGAGCCCAGGTTTGCCTGCAACCATCCAAGGCTGCCCTGGGTGTTTTCAGAGCAGGGAGCACCTGGAACAGAGGGGGAAAGATGTATGGCAGCAGCTGGGGTGGGGGCTTCCCAAAGGCAGGGCTGCTTGGGTGTCTCTCTCCTTTCAGGCCAGGGGCTCCTTAAAGGTAGGAGCTCAGCTCAGACCAGGAAAGACTTCACTGCCCAGCTGTTGGCACAGCCATAAGGTGCCCATAAGGGGCCCTGGTGTCTGCTAACCTCTCTCTCGACTCTGGTCCTGAGTTGATGGTCCTGAACTAATGTGGGCCTTGGGTCACTCAGCTTCTCTTGCTTCTGAGTAGACAGAAGGGTAAGATCTGGTAGAGTCCTCAAAAGTGACATTGAACATCAAGAATGCCAACGTGTCTTACCTGTCTGCACTGGGCGGGACACCAGGTAGCCTTGGGCAAAGTTGAACACATTCTGCCGGGTGGTGGGAGCCATCTGGGAGAAGCTCTGCTCTAGGCTGCCCATGCTATTGGCAAAAGGGAAAATTCAGTGTCTTCTTAGGACCCCTGACTCTTCTTCTACCCTGATTTGGAGTCAGAAGGCCCTGGGTTTCAACCCCGCCTTAGCTACTATCTGTCCACATACCCTGCTTGTTCCTGCCTACCACCCAGTGTCCCATGCCTTTGTCTTCCTGCTTAGCATAGTAGGTACCAGGATCATAAAAATTCCTCCAAAAACTTAGGCATTCCAGGCTTGGTGCCTGGGGAATCTATTACGGGAATCTCTTACAAGGTCCCTTTCTCCAAGTGAAGGTGTCCTAAGGACAACTTTTGCCCTGTCTTTTCCTGATGAATTAAATGCCAAAGAAGATGAATGGCATGGAACAGACCCAAGAGTCATGTGGATTTGGAGAGGCAGTCACCCCTAGCATTAGGGGCCTTGTTCTAGGCGAGAAGTGACTGGGGGAGAGTGTGGTTTGAGCCTCTGAGGGTTCCCTTCTATTCCCTGGCCTCAGGGAATGGGTCAGTCAGCCCAGAAAAAGTTGTCCCATGCTTCAGGCTGGGCCCCAGGGATAGCAGGCTAACCTCTTCCCTCTCCCATTATAGAATTGTAGACTTAGACAGTACAACTCCTTCATTTTACAAATAAGGAAACTGTGGCCCACAGAGGTTAAATTACTGGCTCAGGGTCATACAGCTAGCAAATACCTGAGGTAGGATTATAACCCAGGTCTTCCTCACTCCAGGTCCAGGGCCCTATCTACCATACTATGATGCCTCTCAAAGGTATGTTGTCCTCCCAGGTCACAGGTACATGGCTCCATGTATATCCCAACAATATGATTAAATATGGGGAGAAAAGGAAGGGGACATATATGTATATATATATGTGTGTGTGTGTGTGTGTACACACACATACATGCATGCACACGCGTATACACACACACACACACATACATATTTGGAAGGGGCAAGCTTCATGCTTTTTGGGAACCCTGGGAACTGGTAGGTTGAGGCTAAGCTCCAGCAAAGAGAGCTCATGGTCTTACACAATTTGGAAAATGCCACATGGCATGTTCTTGGGAAGGCCAGCAAGGGCTTCAGCAGTGATGCTAGGCAGCCAGAGGCCAAGCTTGTATCTGAACCAGTCCTTGTACTCCTGGGGGCTGAGGCGAGTGAGGCGTGGATGCACTTTGTTGAAGATAACAGCAAACATGGCGTCCCGGACGGGCACATTGGTCAGGGCTGAGATTCCCTGCTGTAAAACCAAAAGGAGCCTGGGGCATCAGGACATCATAGGCCTGGGCTTTCCCCCTTCCCACCCTCCCAGGATCCTGGGCCCAATAGGGGTGTATTGTAGGGCATTTATGGGGATCATCTTCCCCTACCATAATTTCGGGCCTTGATTATATTTAATTCAATGAGTGATTCTATCCTCTATCATTTCTCTATGAATACAAGTACTATTATTAGTAACTAGCATTTATATGGCATTTTAAGCTTTGCGAATCACTTTACATATGTATCTCATTTGATCCTCACAAAAACCCTGAGAGGCAGGTGTCATTATTACCCTTACTTTACAAATGGGGAAACTGAGACTAAGAGATGTCAAGTAACTTGCCCAAGGTCACACAGCTAGTAAGTGTCTGAGGTAGGATTCAAACTCAGCTCCTCCCGACTTCAAGTCCAGTCTTCTGTGCATTGTGTCACCGAGATGCTTTCCTTGTATGTACAAGTCTTGTCTCCCCAGCCTTAAGGGCAGGGACCTCACCCTCCTTTCTCCTCTTTTGTCTCCTCTCTCCTCTCTCTCCTTCTCTCTCTTCACATCTGTCTCCTTTTCTCCCTCTCTCTTTCATTATTTCTCTCTCTCCCTCTCTCTCTCCCTCTCTCTCCTTCCTTCTTTCCTCCCTCCTTCTCTCTCTCTTCCTATCTTTCTCTCTCCTTTTCTCCCTCTTCCTCTCCTTCCCTCCCTCCTTTCTCTCCATTTGTCTTTCTCTCTCCTCTTCCTCTCTCTCCCTCCCTTTCCTTCTCTCTCTCTCTCTCTCTCTCTCTCTCTCTCTCTCTCTCTTTCCTCTCTCTCCTTCTCTCTCTTCACATCTGTCTCCTTTTCTCCCTCTCTCTTTCATTATTTCTCTCTCTCCCTCTCTCTCTCCTTCCTTCTTTCCTCCCTCCTTCTCTCTCTCTTCCTATCTTTCTCTCTCCTTTTCTCCCTCTTCCTCTCCTTCCCTCCCTCCTCCTTTCTCTCCATTTGTCTTTCTCTCTCCTCTTCCTCTCTCTCTCTCTCTCTCTCTCTCTCTCTCTCTCTTCCTTCTTTCTTTCTCCCGAGACCATAAGTTCTCTAACATCAATTAAATACTGTATTTATTTCATCTGAATTTTGGCCCTAGGATAAAGGGGTACCAGGAAGATTGTTACATTTGAACATTTGGGTACAGGAACAGTTTCATTTTTATCTTTATATTCCCAGTGCCCAACACAAGGCCTGGAATACAGTAGGTGCTTAATAAATGCTTCTTGATTGACTGTTTGCGAGCCCTGTGTGAGAGCAGTAATCAAGCCTGTGCAGAAAGTGTGATAATAATGTGATAATAACCTCTATTTGGGAGTATGGAGTTCTTTTCTTGCTTCTGATTCCTTGCATTTCCTGGAAATACTCTCACATCTACCCAGAAATCTTAGGACCCCAGGGGTAGCTCCCTCAATCTGCTTTCCATGGGTGTTTAGCATCTAGTTGCCCCTATCTGAGGGTACTGAGTTTTTGGTTACCTGTTGGGCCATGGTGACAAATTCTGTGACAAAAGCAATCATGCCGGACATAGTTCTGCTTTCTAGTGTCAACAGGAGGGTGCTCACAAGGCTAAAGTCTTCTAGGACTCCAGGAGTAAAGAACACGTGGGCCAGCTGTGTTGACGTGAGGTTTTCCTGGACATCAAACTGGCAAAGAGATATCTTCACTATACTTTAGATTTCTCCCACTCACTCCTCTTTTATATCAATTATCTCTCTTAGCCCTAAACCATCCCTTAGATGAAGATTGGATGAGGAATGCTGTCCTCATTGACAAAAGGGTAAATGGAGTCCCAGAGATCAGATGATCTGCTTAAGATCCCCCAGTGACAGAGAGAGACAGAAATGACACCAGAACCCAGGGAATCACTTAGCATAGACAGAGGTACCTCTAAACAGATGTTATAATCTGGGAAGGGAGGAACCAGAAGGAGAAAAAAACAAACAAACAACTATGGCTCCTCTTACTGGCTGATAGAACACATAGGAAAAGGAAAGTTTGAAGGACCTTAACCCTTCCCAGTAAGCTGACTGTTAAGCTGTAGTGGCCTTGCCAGAGGAGGACTCAGCACAGACTAGGGGCATACCCAACCTGCTTACACTATTCATAGGAACATAGTCTTAGAGCTGAGAGAGACCTCGGAGGCCACTCAATCGAATCCCCTTATTTTAAAAAATGAGGAAACTGAGTCCAAGGAGATTGAGTTACTTGTTAAATGACAGAACCCAAAGCCTGGATTTCCCCCTTCTCCTGACTACCCCACAGGCCCACACAGGAGTCTCAGTAAACCCTCGGTGGGTGGTTTAATGTTTGTTGCAGTAAGAATGCTTTTTTAGCAGGTGATGGGGTATTGGGACTCACGCCATTGAAGTCATCCTTCAGTTTTATGAAATCTCCATAATCAGCATCAAATGCAAATGGCCCCAAATTCTTCCACAGCCAGTCCTGACTGCTCATTGTGGCTTCCATGCTGCCATCACAGGCCGAACCTGCGGGGATAGGGGATTTTTCCGAAGCAGACCCAGAATTCCAGGGTGCTTCCTCTCTGGGGCTGCTTGTAGGATGCTTTGGGTAGAACTTCCCTCCCCTTGCTCCCCTTGTCCTTTGGGTCCCTGGGATTACCTGTAGTGTTTGCCTGGATTCCAAGGAAAGCCACCAAGGACTGGGCCACGCCTTGTCTGTTCTCTGGGGCCATGGAGGAGTAGGCAGCCCCAAGAGATGCCACACTGAGGAAAGAGCACCAGATGGCATTGGGGCTGGCTTACCACCGCACAGAACCCCCGGTCATCTGACCCTTCCTATGTTCGGCAGAATCTCAGCATCATAGCATGTGAGAACTGGAGCAGATCTCAGGGGTTACCCAGTCTGACCCCCTCATTTTGAGAGGAGAAAACTCAGGCCTAGAGAAGGCAGTGATTTGCCCAAGGTTATGCGGTGAGTTACTGAAGGAGCTGGGCGCCTGGTGCCCGATAAGGATCGATCCTTTATATCACCAGGATGTCCTTACAGCTGATGCCTTTAAGCACAAAGAAAACCTATTCACAATTGGTGTGGCCTTGGCCACGTCACAGAATCACATAATATGGGTCTCATTCTCAGTAGAGAAGAGGACTTGACCAGATGATTCCTGTGGTCCTTTCCAGCTCTAAACTATATGTTTCTTGAGCTCCCATGCCTGAAATGTCCTGTCTCCAAATCCCTACCCATTGATATCCTTCTCTTCCTTCAAGAAATAGCTCAGGTACCATCTCCTCTAAGAATCCTTCCTTGATCTTTCTCCTCACTCCCACCAAGCTGAAAGTAATCTCTATTTCCTCAGATTTTTCCTAGAGCACTTCAGATCTCCCTTTGCTCTTAACACACTTTACTCTGTTTATATTTATCTCCCATCTCCACACCTTTGCACTGTCCATGTCCTCTGCCTGGAATGCACTCATTCCTTACTTCTGCCTTATAGAATTGGTCCCCCCTTCTGCTTCCTTCAAGATTCAGCTCAAGGACCACTTTCTACTTGAAGTCTTTCCTGATCCCTTCCTCCCAAACTACCCTGCATTTAACTATTGTGCACCATTTGTGCTTCTTCTTCTTCTTTTTTTTTTTTATTCATTCTGTATATGCTTATTTGGGCAGCTACATAGCACAGTGGATGGAATGTTGGGCTTGGAGTCAGAAAGACTCATCTTCATGAGTTTAAATTTGGCCTCAGACTTATTAGCTGTGTGGCCCTGGGCAAGTCACTTAACCCTGCTTGCCTCGGTTTCCTTATCTGTACAGTGAGCTGGAGAAGGAAATGATAAACTACCCAGTATCTCTGCCAAGAAAATCTCGAATGGGGTCACAAAGAGTCGGATATGACTGAAATGATTGAACAACAACAAAATATGCTTGTTTACATGAATGTTTCATCCATACGAATGCATGCTCCTTGAAAGTAGGGATTGTTTCATTCTTTGTATTTGCATGAACAATCTGTCAATCAATCAACATTTACTAAGCACCTACTCTGTGCTTATTGTATTATGTTATTGTATTGTATTACTGTATTATGCTGAGCAGTGAAGAGTGCCTGGCGCGCTATAGGCATTAAATAAATACCTGTTGACTGGTAGCCAATTATAAGCATTGTGAGGGCAGAAACTCTGCCATTTTCAATCTTTCTCATGCCAATGCCTGGCATAGAACCTTGCACATGGTGGACATTTAATAAATGATGGCCAAACTGATCTACAACAGGGAAAAAGTCAGCTCTTGTCACTGATCTTTCGCCCCTCCAAAGTCCTTCCCCACTAGTTTGCTTTGGCCTAGGATTCTTTTGACATCCACTCACAAAGCTTGGAAGCTGTCACATCCAGAGATGTAGGACAAAAGGAGCTGGGTGTCCTCGGCACCCAGGCTGGGGAGGAGAGGCAGGAGCTTGGTCGAGAGGAAAAGGGTCCAGTCTTCTGGTCTCCAGCTTAAGAATCCCCCTTGAACCTGGCCCACCAGTTGCTTGAGCATCTTCCTCCTGACCACTACATTTCGGATGGCCCCAGTTGACTGATGGAACCGGGAGAAGAGAATGGGAAGTAGCAGAGGATTGAATGAGAGAGAGAGGCCTTCTTAGTCTGAGAATCAAAACCCTTTAGGGGCCGGGGCTGCTTTCCCCGATCCTCTTTTCAGTCATTAATATATCAGAAGAAATTAGCTCATCAAATCAATTTTCCCAGTGATATCTTCACTTAGGAATGTGAGTTTGGACAGGGTTGGGGGGAGAGAAAGACAATTTTGGAATCTTGGATATGGTGCTGGGAGGATACACTTGGGTGCATACTGTAGAGGTGGCCCAAAGCAGTGGGTGAGGGTAATGATTGAGCCACTGGAGGGCTTCAGGAATTCCAGGACAAGGTTGAGTGGCAGAGAAAAGGGAAACAGGCTAAACATGTAGGGGACCCCTGGGTTTCCCATGCCATGATCATGCCACCAACCACCCCCCTCCAGTCACTGGCAACCTCAGGGCCAAGTGGAGTTCTCACCAGCTTCAGTTCCATGGTGAGTTGGCTCAGGAATTGGTCCACAGCTTCTGCAGGCATGCTCTGGAGCCTGGCAAGGACCAGATCCATGTCTTTTTCAAGGCTGATGGTGCCAGACTGTATGATGAATGAGGCCAACTGGATGGGAGTCATTTTGTCCAGCAAAGAGAGCTACAGAAGATGTAGGGACAAAGTGAGCCAGAGGCCCTATGTAGGTAAGATCCTGAGCCTGAGAACTGAGGGGACTCTGAAGGTTCTGCAGCCCATGTCAACTGCTCTGCTCTATACTAAGCTTTGCATTATTTGTAGGGGGAATATTGGAATTGGAAATAAATGATTGCATCTTTTCCTGACATCCACCTGGGCCTTAAGACAGTGTGAGTACAGAGAATGAAGACTCTAATATTAATTGATAACAAAGATAACCAGAAGGAGAAACCCAATGAAAAGGCTTAGGACCATAATGGAAAGGACCTTAGAAGTCATCTCATCCAACCCCTTTATTTTACAGATAAGGAAACTGAGGCTCGGGGAGAGTATGTAGCTTGTTCAAGTTCTTGTGGTTATATTCTAAAGTCAAACAGGAATCTTAGTTTTTGTTTATCTGTTTTTGAAAAGAGAATTTCTATGCTGTTCTGCCCCCTTTGGAGCAATAATGATAGCAGCAGCCCTAGCAATCCCAGTACCCCCAGCCTGCCATAACCAGATAATTCAGGCAAAACCCCAGAGGCAGAGAAATGTGGAAGGGAGGAGAGATTTAATTTGACCTCAGCATTTGAAAGAAGGTAATGGAATAGGTTCTGGGACCCTGAGAAGAAAGGGAGAGACAGCCTACCCTCTCACTGGCTTCAAGCCCAACCCACCTGAGCAGGGACCACTCACCCCTTGGAGTTTCGCATTCCAGTACAGCAGGTCCTGGTAGTCAGCGAAGATACTGAAGTTCCCCAAGTATGTGTCCAGCCACACCTCAGAACTGGGTATGTCATGCCCACAGGGTGTTCCTTAAGAGATACAGGTCTGGGGTGGGGTCTTTGACCTGGCTGCAATCAATCTGGGTCCCTGGGATTTTCTCCCCCTTGGGTACACCCTGCCTATCCTCTGGCTACCTCAATGCCCATGAGTACCTCCCTTCAGGGGCAGGGGCTGGAAACCTAGTCTTCTGGGGAAGGACTGCTAAGGTCCTTTCTGACTTAAGATTTTAGGATGCTATGACCCAAATGGGATTGAGTGGCTAACGGAGGCCTGGAATTTGTATATTTCATTTCTTCAGCCACTAGTGAGGTGGTACAAATGTGGACCAGAGAATTATACTAGCCCCTTCTGAGTCAAATAAAACTTTTGTTCACCATCATAAACTGTTCTCACTAGACCCTTAACTGCAGTCCCAGGGTGACTCCTTACCTACGATTTCAGCCTGACCCTTAAACCTAGTCCTAAATTGACTCCTATCCTAACTTCAGACTGACTCCTATCCTAGTCCCAGACTGACCTTGGCCCCCAGTTGATCCCTAACCGTAATTATAGCTACAGCCCCAATAGCAGTGGTGGGGAACCTGCGGCCTTGAGGCCACATGGGGCCCTCTAGGTCCTCAAGTGTGGCCCTTTGACTGAATCCAAACTTCACAGAACAAATCCTCTTAATAAAAGGATTTGCTCTGTAAAACTTGGACTCAGTCTAAAGGCCACAACCAAGGACTTAGTAGGCCACATGTGGCCGGCCTCAGGGCTGCAGGTCTCACCTCTGCCCAACACCATGTCCAGAATCAGCTCAGTTCTAGGTTTGAGAATACCCTCCCCCTCCCAGTCCCAGCACCCATCTCTTGAATGCATCTCCTTGGTTATAGAGCAGGACCTAGAGAGAATGTGAATGACTCAGTGCAGTTCATATCCACCACAAGGGACAAAGTCCATGAAGGATGGAATATTTATTCATAGCTATTATCATGAAGATACTGACATGGGCACTGTGGTAATAGTCACATACCTGACTGAGCTCTGGCTGTGAGGAAAGCTTTGCAGAATCCATATACACTGGGGGCTTTGGGGGCAGGGATGAGCTGATAAACATTATTGAATCCTTTCAATCTGTTGGGGGGGGGAGGAGAGCACAGAAACGGAAAATCACAGAAATGGATGGTGAAGGTATCAGACATAGATGTGTACAGGTGACAGATGGGGTAATTGAAGCCCAGAGTGTTGAAGTGACTTGCCTCAGATGTCCAATCAACCAATAAACATTTATTAAACATCTACTGTGTGCCAGGCACTGTGCTCACGTACCTTGGTGTGTCACATCGACAGCTATGTTCAGGTCCCTTAAACCATTTTTTCCCCCTGAATACCAGCTAAGGTTTTTGTCCTTAATGAGTTTTATGCTCTAGAGATTAGAGAAGGAACAAGAAATCCCATCTCCCACCTTACTTCACTAGAAAAAAAATCAATTCTTGTAGAGACATTGTTCAATAGTGACTGCTGTCCTTCTCTGATCTCCCTCAGCTGGACCTCCCTCCCTTCTCCCATCACCTGAGCCTGGCACTCATCACACTGCTTTGTATCATGGCTCTGTATATTGCTTACTGCCCACACTAGACTGCAAGCTCTTCGAGGCCAGGAACCGGTTCTTACCCTCATGGGATGATAGATTTAGAATTAGAAAGAACCCGAGAGGTCATCTAGTTCAAACTACTTCTTTTATAGGCTAAATGACTTACCCAAGGACACACAGCTAGCAAGTCACACAGCAGGATTATATATTTTTGTTTCTTCCCTAGGGCTTGGCACAATTCTCTGCACATTGTAGGTGCTTAAAACTGTATGTTGAATGAATGAATACGTCGAGAGGGATTTGTTATTCTGATCTGAACTGAAACCAACTTGTGGCAATTTTGTTTTTGAAAAAAAATTTTTCTGATGTATGGAACAAACAGGAGTTGCAGTAGCTAACGAGGCTCTTGGAAAACATTTAAAGGGATATTTCTGTCCTGTTTTTGTTTGAGGTTGGCCCATTCCTTGGGACCTCTGTTCCTCACTGGCAGTAAATGAGGCCCAGGAGAGGGAAAAAAATCCCTTTTTCTCTGGGTGTCAAGAGACCATTTAACAGGTTACGAATAGGTGGAACAGACCTGGGTAATCGAGTAATGAAGTTGGCACCGCAGGTCCCTAAGTTCTGTTTCCTCCAGTCACCCGTGTGAATTTCCTGGAAGAATCTCAGAACTGAAAGGGACCTATTTCGGAAGTCAATTATGCCAACTTTCCACCCATCGGGGAAGCCCTCGTGCTGTGTCCTTGGCATCTGAGCTGCCTCTGAAAATCTTCAGCGACAGAGCCTGCACCCTGTTTTTGAAGTAAAGCCCATTCCACCCTTGGATTTCTCAAATGATCAGAAAGATTTTCCTTAGGTTAATGTGTTTCTTTGTGACTCCTACCTATTGCTCCCAGTTCTTTCTGCCTTCTGAGGCTTGGTAGAAAACTCCTAACCCATCTTCCACACAATAACCCTTTGTTATCAGGTATCCTTTGAAGTCTTGGGTTTTCCAGGCTAATCCTCTTCGATTCTTTCAACCAGTCTTCATATGGCATGCATTCTGGTCTCTTTGCTAATCTGGTCACTGCTCAGTTTGACCAGGTCCTTCCTAAAATGTGACGTCCTGATGATCCGACAGAGGGCAGTGTGGTGCAGTGGAAGTCTCACTACCCTGGAAGCTAGGAGACCTGGGAGCCAGGTGACCTTGGTGAAGTCACTTCCCCACTTGGTGCCTTGGTGTCTTCAGCTTTAAGGAGGGGTTGGACTAGATAACTCCTGAGGTCTCTTTCAGTTCTAAAACTATGATTCTAGGTATTTAAAGTCTCTTCATCTCTCATAGTTTCTAATTCCGGAGTATAGCATGTTAACTCCTTGAGGGCAGGGATTGGTTTTTGTTTTGGTCTTTCTATTCCCAGCATCTAGGTCTATGCTTTGAGCATAGTAGGTGTTTAATGAATGCTGATTGAATGAATTGAATTAATTACTTTTCTTTCTCTGGACACTAAACTTCTATTTTAAGGGTGGGGAAACTGCAGCTTCAAGGCCACATGTGGTCCTGTAGGTCCTCAAGTGTGGCCTTTTGACTGAGTCCGAGTTTTATAGAACAAATCCTTTTATTAAGGGGATTTGTTCTGTGACTTAATAAAATAAAACCATTAGATTATATGTAGAAAATAAAATTAACCTCTCTGAGATTCATTTTTGTTAACTGTAAAATGAAGGGATTGGACTAGACGACCTTTCAGATTCCTTCTGGCCCTAAACTGCTGTCCCTATGATGCATCAGAAGGATCCCTCTCCCTAGGGAGAAGAGGCCCCTGAACAATTTTCCCGGTGGTCTTGTCTCCTGGATATAGGGACAGGGAATAGGGGTAAGCGAATGCTCCCGGCCAGCCTCAGGACCTACATGTTCTGGTAAGCATCACATGAGATGGTCAGGGGGATCTGGGCAACAAAGGTCTCATTCACCGCCTGCAGTACATTCTGGAGGCCACTCTGGAACCAGTAGGCAAAGTCTGTGCTCTGGAACTTGGGAAAGTGTTGAGATAGGTGCCGGAAGGCCAGGCCGAGCAGGAGGCTCGCGTGGACGCTGCCTTGGAGCTGGGCCTGTGAAACCAATATTGGCTTGTTCAGAGCTTTCTTGACAACCTGGGGACCAGGTCTTCACAAGCCCTGGGTTTGCCCAGGCTTCACTCCCTAACTGCATCAGTGAGCCCCCCAGTTATTTTTGCTTTCTTATACTCACAATAATAACCACCATCCCAACAACCAAACCAGACTTTATAACTCTTAGATGGATTTCCTAGAATATGTATGCAAATTACACAAATGATCCCAAAGACCCTTGGGAAAATGTTTACCCCTTACAGAGATAACCCATGAAGCTTCCTCCCTACCACCACCCAGAACTAAGGCTAGGAGGCCTGGGAGCCAATACTCACTTGGGATAGGGCATTGAGGCTGTTAAAAAATTGTGCCAGGTCCAAGGTTGTACTTATCTGGCCCATGACTTTCAGAATGGTAGCTTCATCAGCGATCGCACCTGTCTGCACCATGACCTGGGCCAGCTGGCCTACAGATAGCTCGGTCAGCGCTGAAAACTACCGGTAGAAACCACGGTGTGGTCAGATATATGACTATGAAATTTCTTCATCCACATGACTAAGGCAAACTCATTAGATCAGTTAGGAAGTAGAACCCATGGTAATACATCCCATGATGCCTCCTAGTGCCCAGCTGAAATGGTGTTCAGATTAATGGTCATCCTGCCTTTTTGAATGATTATCTGGACAAACAACTCACATTTCCAGGGCTTCAAAGTTTACCATGCACTTTTCTTACATCAACCCTGGGAATGTATTATCAACCCATTTTACAGATGAGGAAAAGTGAAACTCAGAAGTAGAAAGTGACTTGTTCAGGGAGACATGGGAGGTAGGATTTGAGCCCAGGTGTCCTGGGTGCTAGTTTGGCATTCTTTTCTCTCTGCTACATGCCCTCCGCGGTTTAGACATTATCTGGTGTTTTGATTTGCCTAATCTTTTGGATTATATATCAGTGTGTCATTATCTACCCCCATGTCTCCCCTATTGGCATGAATATTTAAGAGGTAATGTACTTTCTTCTCTTTCCCTCTCTCCCTCCTTGGTATTTGGAGTTGATACTTTGGATGGAATGATTGGAGTGGATTGGATTGGTAGCCCAATATGACTGACGCTCTCTGCAACTTTTGTACTCCTTTCCTGCCCGGTGTACACATCAGAGAGTGCAGTTGTAGGGGGAAGTATCATGGGGCCATGATACTTACCCCCTCAAAATTCAGATTGAGGGTTGAGAATTCTTCCATAGTGGCAAAAGCCCGGAAACGCCTGTAATTGTGGGTGATCCAGAGGCTGCTGGTAGCATCAGCAGAACAGGTGGTGCCTGCAGAGCAGCCTGGGGTCAGCTCACAGATGCCATCCACCCTATCTGGCTAAAAGCTGGACTAACGGCACCTCCCACAGAACGATCACTGACTCCAGGCTGACCTGTGGCCCCAGGCTGTGTCTCTGACCTCAGTTCTAGCTTGATTCTCTTACCCTGGTCACAGACTCAGATCTGTCCCTGATTCCAACACAGCCCTGGCCCAACTCCGTGCCTGCCATCTATGTGATCCCTAACTACTAATTCCATCTGTCACTCTAAAATCCCAGTTCATCAGTCACCCAGGAGACTGGGTGGGCTCAGTGGGCTCTAAGGACAAGAGGACCTTGTGTCTGAAGATGGGCCTCAAGATAGCTTCGGATCCAGTTGTGCACTAGTATCCTTTGGTCATCTGTCAAATGGTCAAACACGCCATCTAGGGCAGCCACCCTGCATCACGGGGATAATAACAGCAGCAATGAACACTTATGCAATAATTTTATGGTATATGGAGCACTTTCCTCACAATAGCCCCGTCCAATAGATAGTTCAAATATTATTGCTTCCATATTACAGATGGGAAAAACTGAGGCTCAAGGAAATTATATGTCTCTTGAGAACACACAGCTAATGAATGTCAGAGCCAGAATTTGATCCAGATAACCTGATTCCAAGCCTATTGTTTTTTTCTATCGTACTATGCTGTCTTGACACAATTGATGGGATTGAGACGGGGAGGGAGGCAGGGAGAACTGGGGAGGAGAAAGGGAAGAGGCGAAGGATGGAGAATTACTTTTAGACTTTGAGTGGAACAATTCCAGGCCACCAGATTGGCCCAAGTCCTGAGTTCTCAGGTCCTGGACTGCAGCCTTTGTGGATTGATATGATACGCTAAGAGGGTCTGGGCTAAAAGGCCAGAGGTTAGCAGTTCTATCTGTGAATGACCCCAGAGTGAGGTCCTGGGTGGAGCCTGGGGCTGGGGAGCTCACAAGTTCTGCTGGGCTCGGCAGTCGATGTCCTGGGGAATCAGCAGCAGGAGCCTGCTATTGAGGCTGGGCAGGAAAAGTGGCAACAGGTGGCCAAACCAGAAGTCATAGTCCTGGGCTGTGAAGGTACGGAATGGGAGCAGCTGGAAAATGGACTCGAGGGTGAGGGCCCGGACACGGGCATCGGGCAGGATGGTGACGCCCTGCTGTAGGGTCAAAACAGAGGACAGCCCATTTTACAGAGAGGGGAACTGAAGCACAGAGACAAGCGACCTGCTCAAAGTCATACAGTTGGCCAATGACCAACTGTATGGGCTAGGACCTAGGTCTCCAGACTCCCAAACTAGTACCTTCTCCACTGTATCTTTATTTTATACAGGCTAGGAGAGGAAAGCCCCTTGGGCATAGCATTTGTTGGCTTTGAGACAGACCAGGGGAGGGGAACCTGCAATCTCGAGGCTGCATGTGGCCCTTTGACTGAATCCAAACTTCACAGAACAAATCCACTGAATAAAAGGATTTGTTCTGTAAAATTTAGACTCGGTCAAAAGGCTGCACCCAAGAACCTAGAGGACCACATGGCCCTCTAGGTCCTCAAGTGCAGCCCTTTGACTGAATCCAAACAAATCTTTGTTCGGTGAAATTTGGAACCACACTTGAGGGCCATACGTGACCTCAAGGCCACAAGTTCCCCACCCCTCCTTAGACAATGCCTCTCTAAGCCTCAGTTTCCTTATATGTAAATGAAACTAGATGCCCTCTAAGGGCATAAATTCAGGAATATCATAGTAATGAGTCGAGAATAGTTTGAAAAGTCCAAATAAATAGAAAACCAGGTTGTGTTTGGGAGTGACATATAGAGGGTGAGACTGATCAGTCAGTTAAAGTTTGCTGAGTGCCTGCCCTGCGTAAGGCACCCTACCAGGCTCTGTCCTTGATGATGTCTCATACAAGACTATGTATAATGATGAATTTGATTAGGGGAATATTTTGGCTTATGGAAAAAAGAATAAGAAAGGTATTAACTAGAGGCATAGCGCGGGACCAGATCTTTTAAAAAAGAAAGAAAACACCATGAAAAGACAAAAATACTGTCTCGGTGTGAGAGCTGACAATTGTTTTAGAGGGCTCAGAGAACAAAGACAGGGTTTCTCTCTCCTGAAGGCACATGGTCAAGTGACGACATTTCCTAGGGGCTGGTCCTCTCCTGTTAGTACATCAGCTAGGGTTCATTTATCCCTCTGAAAGGGGAAGCAAAAGCTTCTAGTAGGCCTGGGTGACGGATGCATTGAAGGGCAAGGGGAAGACCTTAGGGGCAAAGGGGGACCCTTGAGACACTGGGTAGAGGTTGTTGCCAACAATAAAGCAAAGTCAGCTTTTGGAGACAGAGCCCGGGGAGATGGCCCTCCTCTTCGAGGGCAGAAGCACTTACCAGCTGGGCCACAGCATTGAATCTGGCCAGGAATTCAGCAATGTCCCCGAAGGGTCGCCTCTCCATCTCTATCAGAATTCTGATGGCTGAACGCTCATTCCTCGTTGCACCTCCTACTAGCATCATCTCCCCAAGCTGCTGGGCTGAGAGCCTCTCCAAGACTTCATACTAAGATGAATGGTGAGGAAAGAAGGCAGACTGATATCTTCATGTACCCATTGGAAGCCACACTACTGTCATCTCCCCAAGCAAGGTACTGCCTTTCCCATTCCGCCATTTGACATTCCCATTTGGCAAACGAGGAAACTGAGTCATAGAGAAGCTCTCTCCCTGATCAGTTTCCTTACTGTCTCCTACACAAACTAGATCCACTCCTACCTCTTTTTTCTTTTTAAAAATTTATTGTTTTTAAAGAAAAAAGCCTGTTTTCTCTGTCTTTCCCTTCCTCTTCCTTCCATTAGGGGAAAAGAAAAAAGAAAAGCAAAATCCTTGTAAAAATATTCATAGACAGACAAAACAAATTCCTTCATCGGCCATGTATTAATCTGCACCTGGAGTCCATCACCTCTTTGTTCACACAGTTTTCCTCTGCTGGAATGCTCTCCACTCATTCTTTCCCTCTATCTAAGCATTCCCTGTCCTTCAAGCCCTAGCACTAATCCTACCTCCTCTAGGAGGCCTCCCCTGACTCCTCCAATGTTGTCTCCCCCTTCCCCTCCCAGATCTCTTCCCTTCTTTCCACTCCTCTACCACCCACTCAATTGTCCTACACTTCAGGCCAGAATCTTGGTCTTCTTTCAAGCCTCAGCTCTAGGCTATCTCCTTCACTGAGTTTTTTCTACTGGTTCAGTTGCTCAGGCTCTGTCCCTTATCAAAGTATCTTGCATTTACTTCTCTGTGTACGTGTTGTGTTCCCAAGAAGAAAGTGGTCTCCTAAGCTGGTTAAGTAAGTACTCCAGGGCACTGGTAAAAGGGCCTTCTCCGTCTCCTTTGCTGGTTCATTATCCAGGTCATGACTGCTAAGTGGGGGTGTTCCCCAAAGCTCTGTTTCAGGTCCCCTACTCTTCTCTTTCTACATCCTCTCCCTTAGTGACCTCATCATCTCCCATGGGTTTAATGATTATCTCTTTGAAAATGACCTCCAGAACTACGTATCTGGTACCAGCTCCTCCCCTGAACTTCAACCTCTCGTTACCAATTGATTATTGGACATTTCAAACTAGATGTCCCAGAGATGTTTCAAACTCAGTATAACCAAAACAGATCTTATGAGCTTTCCCCCTCTTCCAAAATTCCCTCTTTCTATCAAAAGTTCCACCATTCTTTCAGTCTCCCGGGTTCATAACCTTAGCATCATCCTGCTACCCTCACTCTCCCTCACCGCACAGATTGAATCAACTTACAGATGTACAGTTTCTACTTCTACCATATCTCTGGAGTCAGACTCCTCCACTCACACTGCCATGATGTTATTTTGTTGTTCAGTTGTGTCTGACTTTTAGTGACCCCATTTGAGGTTTTCTGGGCAAAGATACTGGAATGGGTTGCCATTTCCTTTTTTGACTCACTTTACAGATGAGGAAACTGAGGCAGAGTTAAGTGACTTGCCCGGGGTCACACAGCTGGTAAGTGTCTGAGGACACTTAGGTCCTCCTGACTCCAGGGCTAGTACTCTATCCACTGCACCACCCAGCTGCCCTTAATTTAGGCTCTTAGCAATTTTTAACTAGATTATTTTTCTCCCTGCCTCCAGTCTCACTGTCCTTCACACTGATGCCAAGTGATTCTCCTTAAATACAGATCTGACTATGTCACTCTCCTACTCAGTCAAGTGCAGGGACTTCCTATTGCCTCTAGAATCAAATATAAACCCTTCTGTTTAATTTTGAAGCCCTTACCAACCTGGTCCCAAAGGATCTTCCCAGGCTTAATTGTCCATTATTCCACCTCTTGTACTCTATGACCTAGTTCTAGCCACACTGGCCTTCTCTCTTCCTCATACATGACGCTCCATCTTCCCATCTCCTTGCCTTTACACTGGCTGTTCTCACCTTCTCCTAGTTGATGCCCTCTCTTCCTTTAAGATGCAGCTGAAACACTAATCAATCAATCAATCAATCAATCAATCAACAAGTATTTATTAAGCACCTACTGTTTGCCAGGCTCTGTGCTAGGCAAAAGGGATATAAGCAGTGCTGTGCTGGTAAATGCTTAACCAGCTCTATGAAAAAAAAATATATATCCATGGCACACTTTGAAGTTTAATCTGAATTATTAATACTTTCTTCATTGCTTTCTTAAGTCTGGAGTTTAGACTTCACAGAAAAAATCCCCTTAATAAAAGGATTTGTTCTGTAAAACTTGGACTCAGTCAAAAGGCTGGACCTGAGGACCTAGAAGGCTACATGTAACCTTAAGGCTGCAGGTTCCCCACTCCGGATTTAGACAATCAAGGAAACAATAAATTAAGCCTTAATTTGTACTGATTGCCTGTTTCCAAGATGTCAGTGTTCATACTGAAAATTTAACGATCGACTCTCCCCAGCTGGTTGAAACACCTCACTAGATACAAGTTAAACAAACAAACAAACAAACAATCACAATAATCCCTACTCACAATTAGCTTAAATTCTAATGACAGAGACAAGTACATGTAAAATAGATGTATACAAGGTGTTTACCTTTTCTATGAAGACCTTTCCCAATTCCCTTAACTGCTAGCGTCCTCCCTCTCAAGCTTGTAGCTAATTTTGCATTTAACTACTTGTATCTAACTACCTTGTATTTATTCTCTTTATATTTATTCTATGTATACTTACATGTATCTTTGTTGTCTCCCCTGGTAAAATGTAAGATCCTTGAGTAGGGATTATTCCAGTGTTTGTATTTATATCGCTAGTGCTTGGCACAGAGGAGGCACTTAATAAAATTGGAATTAATTGGAAGTAAAAGTGGATTGATTGACTAAGAAACTTGCCTGATCCAAAGGAGTTAATGTCAAAGCCCAGATTCAAGTTCAGGTCTTTTCCCATCATATGTGACTGCAGTGTTTGGGGTGGGGGGGACCCACCAGCTAAATGAAGGCTTTTGGAAATGACCGTCTTCTCAAGGGTCAAGGAACAGGGTGGGAGATAGGGAAAGAAGTCTATGACTAGCAATGGAAGGTCCTTCTGCCCTTGATTCTCCAGGGAACCTAGACTGCTCTGAGCCCAAAGGCCCTGTACCTTGAGGACTGCATGGTCCATACCTACCCCATTAAATGCCGGGTAGAAAGTGAGGAGCTCAGTGTAGTTGGCGAAGCTTAGAAATGGACCAAAGAGCTGAAGATAGCTCTGGCTGTTGTTATAGGCTTGAGGGAACACGGAGCCTACCCCACCAGGAAATAAGAGGAAAAGAGAATGGTCAGAATCAGGGAGGGTCCTATTCATATCAAAGTACCATCACTTCCCTATTATCCAGTGGTTATATTCCTAGCTATACGTTATCCAACCGTCTCAGACCAACGACTTTAGGGGAATACTTTACCATCATTGCCAATTATTCTAAAGTCAATAAGTTATTAATAACTATTGCCCACATTTCTATAGCCTTTTTCAATTTACAGTCTGCTTTCATTACAACATCCCACAAAAGTGACCTTTTTTTTGGTCAGGACCAGCAATTTTATCAGGATAAGACTCCCAGTGTGGGAACTCCTTCTATTTGTGTAAATTAGCAACGCATCCGTAACTTATGGTCTTTTATGTATTTATGTATATATCTATCTATGTATGTATCTATGTATCTATTTATCTGTGTATCTTTTTTTTTTTTTGAGAATGAGTCTACCTAGCTCACCCAGGCTGGAAGCATTGTGGCCGTTCACAGGGCTCATCCTACTGCCGAACAGCAAGGAAACTTCAAACCTGCTCTGTTTTTGACGTGCGTGGGTTCACTCCTCCATAGGCAGCCTGGTGGGCCTCTCCCCTTCCACCCCGCCCAAATTGGCTTCAGACTTAATGCAGGCACCCGACTGGCTCTGACCTGACCGCGGCTCAGAATTCCTGAGCTCAAGTGATCCTCTAGCCTCAGTCTCCCCTAGGAGCAGGGATCACAGGTATGTGCCGCTACAACTGACCATAACTTATGGTCTTGGAGAACTGCGTGTTCTACCTGAGAGTCGCCCATGCTCACATAGCTCCTCCGTGTCAGAGGGAGGCCTTGAGCTCAGGTCTTCCTCTCTACCCAGTATGTCACACAATCTCTAAAAAATTTTATAATAAAAATTGCTGACATCTACATAGAAATTTAAAGTTTGCAAAAGTACTTAATATCCATTGTTTCTATTGAGCCTTACAATAGCCCTATGAGATAAGTAGTATAGATATTATTATCCCCATTTTACAGATTGAGATGCTGAGGCAAAGAGAGGTTAAGCAATTAGCCCAGGCTCACAATGCTTGTAGGTAATAGATCCTAGGTTTTCAGATTCTAAATTCACTCCTCCTTCTATATTTTACCACCTCTTCTTTTTAAAACTTATTTATTTATTTATTTATTTAATTTTACCACCTCTTCTTAACACCCATGAAACCCTCAACTGCACTCCTTCAGGCACCTCACCTAAGACCATATATCTAATCAGTAGCAAAGCTGAGACTAGAACCTTGGTGCCTGGATTTGTATTCTATATACTTGCCAGAGACCACACTGCCTCCATCTTCTTCCTGCCCCTTTTTTCCTGTGGCTCCTGGCATGCCAGAAGGAAACAGTTGGTTTGTTTCTTAAAGGATGCTGACTCCTGTGTGGGAGGGCCTCTAATCTATCCCAATCTGACACTGCTTCCTCTGCTTTATGATACCAGGCAAGACTTTTCCTCAATCTGGACTTCAGTTTCTCCTTCCATAAAGTGGGTAACTATCCTTTCAACTCTGATATTCTATGATTCTATTAACCCTTCCCCACCCCCAACTCCTCTCCCCCTATTATTGGGGGAGGTTCTTAGGATCTGTGCTGGACATGCTGCTGCATAGCATGTGATGCAATTCCCGCCCCATTCACCCCCAACATTGGGACAACAGGCAAAGCTGGGATCAGCTTAGTTACCTGAGACTCTAAGCTGGTAACTCAGGACATTTTGGATGAAGCCATAGATATTCTGGGATGTCTGAGGGGAACACTGAGAGAAGACGTCACTGAATGCCTGAACACTGTGATAAGGGAGAAGAAAGGGAGTGGAGATGGAGAGAAGTAATTTAATCATGGTGCTCTAGGTGGGAGAAGTGAGAGAGGATTGAGTGACAAGGTTGTCATAGTGACCAGATGTTGGCAGTAGGTTTGAGGCAAGGGAGAACCAATCAGAAAACAGGATGGTATCCAGGTGGGAGAGCCTGACCTAGGGCACCAGAAAAGGGGCAGAAGTCCCTCTGAACTCACCTATGGGATTAGATGCTTCTGGTCTGTTTTTTTATTTCTTCAAATGTCCACTATAGTCCCTTGAATATAGTAGGCACTTAAAAGGAATTTGTCTAATCGGAGTGAGATTCAACCAGACTGGGAGCTCCTAAAGGGAGGGCAGGGGCACAGTAGATAGTGTGCTGGGCCTAAAGTCAGGAAGAGCTGAGTTCAAATCCAATCCCAGAGACTTACTAGCTATGTGACCCTGAGTGAGTCACTTAAACTTCTGTCTGCCTCAGTTTACTCAATTATAAAATGGGGATTATAATAACACCTACCTGCCAGTGTTGTGAGAATCAAATGAGGTAATATTTGTAAAGCACTTAGCACAGATCCTGACACATATGTTGTTGTGAGAATCAAATGCAGTAATATTTATAAGGCACTTAGCACAGTGCCTGACACATAGTAAATAATAAGTAATAGTAATAATAACGATAGCTGACATTTATATAGCACTTACTAAGTACTAGATTTACAGATGAGGAAACTGAGGCAAACAGAGGTTGAGTGTCTTGCCCAGAGTCACACAGTTAGTAAATGTCTGAGGTCAGATTCAAATTCAGGTCTTCCTGATTCTAGGTCCAGCACTCTATCCACTGTGCCAAATAAATGCTTATTTTCTTCTTTTATTCCCTCCTTCATTCAGCACCTACTATGTGCAAAACACTATTCTATTCTCCTCTTCTCTTTTGTTTACCACTCCTTCCATACCCTCTCCTCGTCTAACTCAGTGCAGGGTTGGTTACACAGGGGCCTTAGTATTGGTAGGTTTCACTGCCTGGTGCTTGGTGGGGGTAGAGCCAATGCAAGTACCATCTCTTCTATTTCCTCAGGGTTCACACAAATTCGTGCCTAGCTAGGGATCTGTGCACCCAGGCCCCACAGGGACTCACATGGCACTGTAAGAGGAATAGCTGAGGTCCAGTGGAAGGAGACTGAGGCCTTGGGCACTGATGTCAGGAAGCAGGAGATGCAGGTTCTCGTGGAACCAGAGCTCATAGTCCTTCCCGGAGAAGGCTGTGAAGTGCAAGGCAAGGCTAGGAAGCAGTATATCCAGGATGCTTTGTCTCACGTGGGTTGGAAGGGCAGGGCTCTTGACCTAAGGTGAGGAAGTAGGGAGTATCAGCCTGTGCCATGTGGGACCCATTGCCTTACCCCCATCCCTGACCCCGACAGCGATCCTCCAGGCTTGCCTCCCCTCTGTGTACCCCTGCCCCCATTTCTACCCAATCCTCTGGATTCCCTTTTACCAACCCTGTCCCAAGTCACTCCCACACCAAACAGGGAGAACTGGAAGAAACTGTAAGGATCATCAACCCACCCCACTCATTTTACAGAGAAGAAAAATGAGGCCAGGGTAGGGGAGTAGGGAAGAGATTTACCTAAAGTTACATCCTAAGGCAGTGGAAGAGCTGACTACAACCCAGGCCTGCTGGCTCCCAGTCTAAAGCTGCCTACATCACTTGCTGATACTCCGAAGTAAACACTATGCCCATGGGAGGGCTTATTATTATTTTCAGTGATACATGAAATTCCTTGGTTCTCTGAGCCAGCTGGGCCTACCCCAAGAAGACCAAGCTAAGAGGACTCATGTCTGAGGCTTAAGACGTCACTGTTCCTTTGTCCCCTAGGAAAGAGTCCCAAGGCAGGGCCCATTTGTCATAGGGTGCTAGGGTTTAGAGATGGAAGAGGCATTGAGGATTATCTAGATCAAGGCTCTCATTTAAAAGATGAGGAAACCAAAACCTAGAAAAAGGAAGTGACTTTTCTAGTTCACACAACCTTATAAATGACAAAGCCCAGGATTTGAACTTAGGTCTCTAGATCTAATACTCTTTCCACCATGCCAATGAAAATCTAATACTCTTTCCACTAGTCTACCTCCATCAGGGATTCCCATCCCATGTGATCTACAGGTCCTGAAGCCCATAAATTTATAGATTCCAAGAGTCTAAAGCGTCTCATTTGGACCAAGCATGGGACTAGAAGCAAGGCAGTATCCTCTTTGCTGGTATTTATTGGTTTTAGAGGAACTGCTCACCTTGGTGAGAGCCAGGTTGAACTCTGCCAAGAACTGGTCCATCGTGGCCAAGGAGATCCTATCCTGGCTGGACATCAGGCTCTCTAGAACAGCCCTAACTGCAGTGACATTGGAGAGCACATCTGGGGTAACCATAAACTCTACCCGCTGTCGGACATCCAAGTAGCTTAGAACATCAGCCTGTGAAGAAGGATGTGTCAATTAGGGAACTTGCAATAGTAGCTGAGGCTGGGTATATATTAGGTCTAGGACTGAGGCTTAGCCTGGGTCCAGGGTTAGGGGCTCAGTCTGCTAACAACTGAACCCTTGACCTGGGGCTCTACAACCCCAAGACTGAATCATTGGGGTAGCCAGCCCAGCCTCCACGGCAATATGTTCCTAGGAGAACCTGTTGATAAGAAGCACATACTGGATTGAAATTTCCACTGAGAGACTTCACTTCCTCCAGCGTCACCTCTGAGAAGAAGGAACCCCACATCGTCTTTATCCACTCGATGAATGGCTCCACAGGGACAGCTGAAAGAAGGTCCGTTATCAACTCTCTTAGCTCAGCAGAAAGGAGGATAGACCCAAACAGGTCCAGGACTAGCCTGTCTTTGCAAGACATCCAGCTAAATCTAGATGTCAGGCCAGGCACATCCCCTTAACCATGTCCAGCAAAAAGTGGCCTGAATCCTGGGGTCACCAGGGAATGACCTACCATTCAGGGTCCTGAGATGCTGCAGGATCCAGAGGGCAACTGCTCTCCTGGAGGCTTCAGGCATGAGGCTGTGAGCCGTGTTCAAGCTTGACACACTGAGGAACAGGAAAGAAGAATGGTAACTTTGGGTTTGATGAGCGAGTCTAGGCCAACAACAGGTAGGAAAGGGCAGCCCACCCTCCCCAAGCCTAAGTACCCTCTGTAACTTGATGTGCTCTCTCTGGTGGATGTGAGTAAGAAACAAGTCCTGGATAGCACTCATTCTTGGTGACATGCTGTCACCATCACTGGATTCCCTGACCTTGAGAGCCTGGCACACTGTCACAGCATCCCAGAGGCCATTGTAACATGGAAGCTGTCATCATGCCATATTTGTGGCTGTCATGATACCTTCTCACTGTCACACGCTCTTCCAGTCAGTGCATCCTGGTGTTGTTACAACATCCAAGAAGCTACCATGACATCCCAGCAACTATCATGACAATCAATTCAATTCAATTCTACAAGCACTTATTAAGCCCCTCCTATATAGCAAGCATCACAATGGACATTGGAGATCTGTTTTTCAATCAGTCTGAAACAAGTCAATCAACAAACATCTATTAAGTGCCTACTATGTGCCAGGGACTATGCTAGGTGTTGGGGATACAAAGAAAGGCAAAAAGCCCCAGACAAATAAAAACCAGTCCCTTCTCTCAAGGAGCTCTTAGTCTAAACCTGTGATCTTATTTATATACAGAATACCTGGTGAGGATACTTTATCTACCAATGCAGATAGGCAGATGTTCTGCAATTTGTAGTTTTAGAGAATTTTATAGGGCACTGAGAGGTTAGTTGATTTGCTCAGGATCACACAGCCAACATGCGTCAAAGGTCAGGGTTTGAACCCAGGTCGTACCTGGCTCCAATATCATTTTATGATCTACCGTGTTGCCTCCCAGGTGCTAGGGATACAAGGCCAAAAATGAAACCATCTCTGCTCTCAAGAAGCTTCCATTCTATCTACATTCCATCATCTGTCATCCTGGCATCTCCAGGTGCCATGAGTGCATCATGGCTGCCATGATGACACGGTGACATTCAGAGATAGGACTAATCTTTTGGTCAACAGTGTCTGCCTTCACCGTCTAAATACTGTGCCAGCCCTTCAGTGTAATATTTCTTGGAGTCAAGGGTGGCCAGACTTCTATGCACCATCCATAGACCTGAGGAGAAAGGCCTATCTAGCCAGAGGGGTTAATCAGTCAGACAGATATGAACATTCCCTGAAGCCTAAGCATAGGCAGAGAACAGGACTTACATAGTGACCAGGGAGGGGACATCCCGGGGGACAACCAACGCCAATGTAGATTCATTGAACATGGGCAGAAAGAAGACCAACTCTTCCTGGAAGGTGGTATTCCAGTCTGTAGTGGTGAAGGTCTCCCTCTCAACTGACGTGAGGGTCAAGAAACTTGTCAGGAGCCACTTTGCAGGCTCTGCAGGAGGCAGCACTCTGATTCTGCACTGAGAGGAGCCCTCAAAGGAGGAAGACAGAAAATTTGGACCTTTCCCTGCATTGAAGGACTGAGGACAGACATGAGGATGGGGAGGACTGTCACTGAGTCAGATGATCAAGTTAGGTTAAAAAGAACCAATCCCTGTCCAGAAGGGCTTAAATGTCCCTGCTAAGAGGCAGGAAAAGGGTTATCTTTTTTTTAAAAAAATAGATTTTTACTGATATCTTTTGTTTTTACATCACCTAGATTTTCTCCTAAATCCCCCCTCTTACCTTCTAAGACAGCCGTGCCTTATAATAAAGATTTTTTTTTTAAGGAAAAGTGAGAGAAAAAAATCAGGTAAACCAATCATTTCATTGGAAAAAAAAAAACCTGACAAATTGTCTTAAAGGTCTTTCCTTGGCTGAGGACTCTTCAGAAGGTGATACCTCCCCAACTTTGGTACCCACCCTCTCATGTGGGACCTGGCTATGAGTCCAAGTAAAGACTTTAGAGAAGAAACCTTAAAACAGTTCTTCTGCACAGTAGACTGGCCCTGGTGCCTACCGAACGGGCAGTCCTGGTGAATGTGGTCAGGATCTGGTGTACAGCCTCTGTAGTGCTTTGCTGGAAGAACCGTGTGAAACGAGGGTCCAGCTCAGTTGTGGTCAGCAGGTCTGAACAGGCCAGAGCATACCCCAGCTGGTTGTTGGTTAGGAGGTCCAGCACAGCTCCCTGGAGGAGTAAGGGTTGGTTGAAATTCCTTCTCACTTTGATGCCGCTAATCCCCTTCTGTTCTCAAAAGTCTACCTGTCTCAAACTTGGGGCTCCCGGAAGATAGGGTCATGTCTTCTCCATCAGAATAGGGACTCCCCAGAGTATGGTCATATCTCCTTCTCGGATCAGGAGCTCTACCTTTCTCTGAAACCCTTAAGGGCAGGGCTATTTTTCCTCTTTCCTCTGTATCTCCCTACCCCTCTTTCTACTCTGGAGCCCCAAACTCATACCTACCCCTTCTTAAAAATTGGCTCAACCCCCCAGTGATTAGCTTGTTTTGGAAGCTCCACCATGGGACACTCCCTGACAACCAGACTCACCACATCAAACCTCTGGTGGTAGCTGACCAGCTGGAGGTATGTGGCCTCCTGGGAAAACCTTCCCAGATACTTGGTGAACCAGTTCCTGGTGTTGGTGCGCCCATCACAAGCAGGACCTACAGTAAAGACACCCAACATGACAGACTAACAGAAGACCTGTGGCCCTGAGGGGCAGGACGGTTGAGGGCTCCCAAGGAGTAAGGTTTGGGCAAGATCTGGGTCGGGGGGAGTCTAGAAGGAAAGGGTTGTCTTTTGTGAACAACCTGCAACAACCTGCTGGTAAATGTTTAGCAACTGGCTCTCTGGAAAAATGTATTTATGATACATGACATACTTTTGAGTTTAAACAGCATTATTAAGGTTGCTCCACCATTTTCTTAAGTTTTGACAATCAACAAAACAATACTTCGAGCCCTGACTTGTAGCATTTGCTGATTTTTGAGGTGTAAATGCTCACACTGAAAATCTGACAATCAGCTCTCTGGCTGGGTGGAGCTGGCTCCAGTAGACCCTTGCCTGTCTATCAGTTGTATTGTATTTTTGAGGTAATAGGATAAATTTTTCTAAAACCCATTACGTGCTATTACTCATCTCCTACCCTTAGTTAGCCAAATGATTATAAAATAAGATAGGTAGAGCACCAAATGCCCACCAGTAACCAGGATTCTGATTGACTGGTCATAAACCTAGGATTATAGAACAGACAAATGAGCTTGATCGATTTGATTGGAAAAGCAAATCAATCCCTAAAGTTGGAGTTGGGGGAAGGGGTGGTGGTTATAAGCTGAACATTGAAAGAATCATGAGCCTCGGGGAAATGGAGCTGGTCGGATATAGAACTGGATAGTTTTATATGCTAACTTTCTTTTATATGCTAATTACCTTAGCCTGGCATATTATTTCTGAATTTATATGTTCTCTTTTAGTACATTTTTCCTTAAGTAAATATTAGAAAAGTCACTTTTATGATCTGGAGGGCATAACAAATAGGGATTAGGTGGGAAAGAGAGTAGATGCCACAATTGTGGTGGCAGATAAAAAGGGGAGGGTGATTACTAGCTGGTTCTGGTAAATCTCAGGACCCTTGGGGGCCCAGGAAGTTCAGGGACTATAGAAGTCTACAGTCTTTGCAATCTGGAAAGTTTACAAAATACTGAAAGGGAGAGCCCTGGGGCCAAAGAGAGTATCCTTAGGTTTCTCTAAGGAGATGGAATCTTTTGGAAGCTGAAGATGGTGAGTCAGGCCTCAGGCCCAGGGGTTTAGATTAGGAAACCAATTAGGGATTAGATCAGGAAGCCCATCAGGAAGGCCTCAAAGGGCTAGTAGAAAACCAGTTGTCTTCCCCCTATAGAACTTTCTTGAACTGTAGCAGCTCCCATCTGTGGGACTGCACACTCAGGCCTCTCTTCACGGGAAGCTGGGAACTGTGGAAGGGTCAAACTGTGTCTTGGGACCAAAGCGAGAATAGGGTAAAGGGTATGGTTAAGTGATGACCTCGGGAATGTCATCTAAATAGGGATAAATCATGGAACTTCAGAATCATCAACTCTCAGAATCATGTTTATGAATTGAGTGGTATTGGTGTTACAAGGAAGCTTGCGGTATAGTGGATAGAGTGCTGAAATTGGAGTCAGGAAGGCCTGAATTCAAATCCTCCCTTAGTCATGTACTGGCTGTATGATCTTGGACAAGTCACTTAACCTCTCTTGGCCTCCATTTTTCCCTCTGTAAAATGGGGATAATAACAACACTTCCCCTTCAGCATTATTGTGACGATAGAATGAGATAATATATATGAAGCACTTCTCAAACCTCAAGGCATACATGGTAGTAATTATAAAAGTTAGCTGTTATTAGCTATTATGTTCCCAATATGTGCAGCTGATAGGTAAGGAGGATGACCTTTCTTTGTCCCACCTCCCGCCAAGGCCTTAGCATCTCACCTCCCACACGCACTGCCTTAAATCATAAACTATTGAATCTGAAAGGGACCTTTGAGATAAACTCATTCACAACCCTCATTTTATAGAAGGGGAAACAAGCAAAGTGACTTGCCTAGAGCTTAAGCCTAGGCCTCTGTCTCTAACTACACTGTTCTACAACAGCGGCATCAAACCCAAATAGAAATGGGCTGCTCATTTCTACATAAGGGTCCCTGTGGGATGCAGATTGTCTTAATCTTAAAATGTAACGTCTTTGATGTTTTATTGTATTTTTATTTATTTTGTTAAATATTTCCTAATTACATTTTAATCTGGTTGGGGCAGCACTCCAGGCCGTCTGACTGACATCTCTGCTCTACCATGCCATGCTTTCTCAGACCCAGAGAAAATGGCCTTTCCTATTGGCCCTCCTCTTTCCCTCCTGGAAGGCCCTCCCTGGCCCTCTCTATTAATCCATATTCATTGGACACTCATACATGTCTGCTTTACCTCTTCTAAGAAGCCTTCTCAGGCTGAATGCAGTTCCTTGCCTTGGCCTTACTACCCCACTTCAGTCTGTGCCCCCTCAGAGCTGGTGTGGTGAGACTGGTCCATGAGATATGTCTCTCCATCAGCCCATCTCCTGAAGAGGGAAGGAGGAAGGAGAAAGGAAAGCTAGAGGAGATTGTAGTCAGGATGAGGAGAGAAGTGTTACCTGTGTTCCGGGACTTCTGTGTTAGAAATGATTTGAGAAAGTTAAACACATCCCTCTTCTGAGACTGGACCAAGTCCTTGTACCTGGTGCTGATGGCTGCGACCCTGGGAAGAGGCAAAGGGTCAGACTGTTGTTAGGCCTGCAGGTAGCTATGCCATGACCCTGTAAGGTCATCTCTTCCAGGCCTCTGTCTTTGGGCAGGGCTTTCCTGAAACCTGGGCTGGGTGGGCTCCCTAGCCTAGTCTGTGCAGATGGTTGTCTAGAAGCAACGTGGATTAGTGCAAAGAGTCAACAGATCTGAGTTTGAATCATCTTTCTGGCACTTAATTACTGTGTGATCATGGGGAAATCCTCTTTGAGCTTCAATTTCCTCATCTACAAAATGGGGATAATAATATCTGCATGACCCAGCTCTGGGCTGTTGTGAAGAAAATACTTTGCAAACTTTAACAAAAACGTGCTTTGTTATCTCTGGATTTGGAGATAACGTCTGACCTTCCTTTAGAAGCTAAACCAAAACGTAAGGAAATCTTCTATGCTGGCTAAAAAAATCTTCCAGCCCAATCTCCCTCCCACCCTGTTGTTCCACCAGGGGTCATATGGTAGCCTCCAGGAGTAATTTGAAATGGAGAGAGAGAATGAGAAAATAACATCTAAGTCCCTGAAAAGACCCCAGGACCCGAGATTGTAGATTTAGAGCTGGGAGGGACGTTAGAAGCCATCTAGTCCCACTTTCTCATTTTACAGATAAGAAAATTGAGGCACAGAGAAGGGAAGTGATTTGCCCAGGGTCCTACAGCTGATAAGTGTCTGAAGCAGGATTTGCACCCAGGTCTATCCTAATGTCAAGTCCAGCACTTTATGCCCTCTTCCATGCGTTCTTCCCAGTGGGGAGGATCTGAAAAACTCAATGGTAAAAATACTGTCAATCTTCACTTGTTTGAGGGCTGGCACACTAGTTATCTAGGCCACTTTAACCCCCCTTTTTGTGGCATCAAAACTTCTCCCTTCATTCACCTCATAGAGATGAAACTCAGACTCCAAACTAGCTCACCTCTATAGGGACACCTAACCTTAGCTGTAAGTGGAGACAACTGTGGGCATGAGGGGTGATGGATAATTTTTTTTATAATCCAGGTTCACCTTGTCCTTAATTTTTTCATCCCAACCTATGAGATTTCATTAGCAAAGGGAAGTCCCATTGGAGAAACTCTCTTCACAGAAGCATATTGCAACTCATTAGCAACAAATAGTCTTAGGGAGTTGTCTGGGACTCTGAGAGATTAAGTCACTTGCCCACGGTCACATAACAAATAAGGATCAGAAGAAGATGAAGGGGAAGGAATAAGCATTTATATAGCATCTACTATGTGCCAGGCACTGTGCTAAGTGCTTTTTGAAAATACAATCTTGTGAGGTAAGTTCTATTATTACCATCCCCATTTTACAGTTGAGGAAACTGAGGTAAATATAGATTAAGTGACTTGCTCAGGGTCACACAGCTAGTAAGTATTTGAGGCTTTTTTCCTGAATCCAGGCCCAGCACTCTATCCACTGAGCCATTAGCTGTCTCTCATATTTAGTTGCCCCTAGGAATTGGGAATGAGTTGCCTTTGGTTCTGAGTATCAACCTCAGCCTCAGAGCCTCATTGGCTCCCCCTTCACGGACCTCTCCACCTTCTCCAGACCAATCCTAATCCCTTCTTTCCCACTTTGGTCCCAACTCACAGAGCTCTATAGGGACCACAAGGCAAGGTGACAGGGATGTGATGGAGCACAGATGCATCAATGGTGTCCAAGACAGATGCCAGCCGTTTTTCAAGCCATTGGTGAACCTGAGATTCAGCCAGGGTGGGAAGCTGGGATCCCAGATGCTCCAGGGTCCGGACCAGCATGGTGTGTCTCACGTCCACAGAAACATTCCCAGGCTGAGGGGAGATCAGAGGGCAGTTCCCCTTCAGAAAATCCCTTTGTGTTGGAAGGGCTCATCCCCAACCAGCCCCAGAAGGCAAGGTCTCAAGCCTGGACTGTGGACATACTGTGTCATACTGTGAAATAACTTAACTTCTCTGGGCTGCCATTAGTAGGGCATTTTGGCAACATAGGTCCAGAGCACATAGTTACGGGGGCCTTGGGGAGATTTTATAGGATCACAGAACTCTGAGCTGGAAGTAGCCTTACAGACCTTCTCATCCCCCGTCTCATTTTATAAAGAAGGAAGCCAAGGCTCGTCTGTCTCATTCAAATTCTGGTACAGCTAGTTCATGGCAAAGCCAAAACCCAAACTCAGGTTCTTTCTCTAAGCACAGAAATGACTTCCCAGTTCAGTGGTCTTTCTCCTATATTGCACATTCCCGTTCAGTAGAATGAATGGGATCTACTGTATAAATGAACAGATAAAATTATATTGCTACCTTTATTCAAAAGAGGGGAGTTTTCTGTGGGACAGCCCCCTGTGAGGATAACTAGTGGATATTCCCACTCCAGCCTTTGGGGACCAGCTCCCCAGAGCCTGCCTTGGAGGCAGAGGTCCACGCATGAGAATGACCTCTTAATGAGGCACTAACCTTGAGGTTGGATTTGTGTACCTGTCCCTTTCCCCACCCCTGGTCCCTTTCTCTACCTTTGCCTGGGGGCTGCTGAGCTCATCCCAGAAGTCAACCAGGGTCTGGGCTCCAGGGATGGCTGCCAGGCGGTCAAACACCTTTTGGGCAATGGTCACAGAGATAGCTCCAGGGATAGTCCACAGCTGGCCCAGCTGAAATGGCAACAGCTCTTCCACTCGCTGTATCTGAAATTGAGTGGGTGGGTAGGAATGAGAAGGGTCAGGGCCAGCCCTGAGCTCAGTGTCCAGGTCTTCGGTGACTCTAGAAGGTGCCTTGATATTGGCCCAGACCCTTTTGCCTCACATTTATGGTGAGGGATTAAAGTGCTCTCAGAATTACGGGTCACAGAACATTAGAGCTAGAAGAAACCTTAAAAAAGCATCTGGTTAATTTTTACAGATAGAGAAACAAAGTCCAGTCAAGGGAAACAACCTGCCTGTGTCATAGTTAGCAAATGGCACTTAAATTTGGGTATCTGGACATGACACCCAGGAGGGTTTGCATTTAGAAAGGGAAGCCTCTACAGAAATCAGTACTTCCTCCAAAGGGATGAATGGTGGCATGTTATACACAGGGACAGGTATGGGGGAGAAATATTTGGAGTAGAGGGGCTGAGGAACTTTTATTAAATTTTAATATCAAGAATACATGTTAGGTGGGCTGGGGGAGGGGATTTCTTCCTCAGCTCTGATTTTGAGGAATTGGCCTGGCCCCCTACCAGTCTAGGGTCCATCCTTACCACATCAAAGTTCTGATCAATGGCTACAAGGTCAGTGATGTTCACAATGGTCTTGAACCTCCAGAAGGTGTGGTCCAGTCCGTCTCCTGACATGCTGCATCCTAGAACCAATGAGAAGGACCAATGGGCCATGAGAGGATCTCAGGAAGAAGAGTTAGAAGTTCCAGGCAAAGAAACACTGCACAGTGCTATACTTTTTTTTTTTCCTGAGGCCAAGAGGACCTTCCAACTATCATTTCCCATTGGTATTAGAAATACTCCTTTGCCTACTCTGGCAAGCAGCTCCAACTCTGTCGCTTTTATGTCTTCACATAGCCCGTGTCTGCTGAACAAAAGATTTCATTTTCTGCTCATAGTCCCCCATCTCTTTTCTCTATTCCATGGCAACTCAATGTCACCTCTTCCAGGAAGCCACTCTGAATTTGATTTCCCTCACTTTCCTTGTCAGATAAAATGTTAGCAACCTATAGGCAAAAATAAGCCTGCCTTTCCCTTCATGGCAGACTTTTCTATATCAGATAGGCACTTGGTAGGCTCAGGCAGGACTGATTGAGCAATAGTATACTGAGTTAGTTTCCCCACTATTGGTTCAACATTTGCTTTTAGGGCTGAGGCAGTAGGCAATGTCCATGGTGGGGATAAGAGCTAAGGATTTAAAGAATTTTAGTGCTAGAAAGGAACTTAAAAATCATTTTGTTCTCCCCTCTAAAACAACAATCACCACACACAACACACAAACCACAAACACACAGACACACACACACACACACACACACACACACACACACACACCCATACACGCTTCACAGTTTAGGGAACCAGGGACTAGAGGAAAGGAGTGATCTATGCAATGCCATAGAACCTGTACATTCAGGAAAGCCTGAAAGCTGGCAGGGGGACAAAAAGGATAATCCTGTTGGATGTCAGGGACCCAGCTCCTGGTTACCACATGGATCTCTCTCCTGGGGTCCAGGGTCTAAAATAGATTGCTCCCACCCCAACATAGCTTCTGCCCAGAGGAAGAGCAGTTCCTGGTTCAATGCCCATCTGTGGTATCCAAGTCAGTGCTTGACCAAGGACCCACCAAAGTACTCTTGCCTGGGAAGAAATAGTCCTCAGCTAAGTGCCCACTTGGTGGGAGAGACACTCACCGAGGCTCGGGATGACTCCTACCACCCAACGGGCCACATCACTTCTGGTATCTGTGCCCATGTGGTCAAAGGCTAAATCCACACCCTTGACACTATGGGAGGAATACAAAGGTGGAGGCGAGTCAGTGCACGTACGAAAGCGGGTATATGATGTGTATGTGTCTCTGTCTAAAGTGTATGTATCTGTATGGGCCTGTGTGTGTAAGTGGAAGCCCTCCTGTATTCGTCTCCCAGGGGCCTTGCTAGTTCTATCACCTGATAGAATATAAACTCTTTGAGGTCAAGCTGTGATTCATTCTTGTCTGGTATGTAATAAATGTATGTTGATTGATTAATATCTAGGATTTGGGGGACAGTTCTCCTCTCTGTTCCCTCTGAGATGATACAAATGTGAACCTCCAACCTCTCTCAGTGTTTAGTATCCAGCCCAGCCCCTTGGGGTCACACAGAAGATATGGAAGAGAGAAAGAGGGGACCACTCACATGGCCTGCAGCTGTTGGCAGCTGGCAACAGGGGTTAGGATGGTCAACTCTCTGGAGGTGATGTAGGTTAGGTACAAGGTCAAATTTCCACCAAACCACTCTTCAACGTTGGCTGGGCTCATGGAGGGTAATTCTGCCCTCAGGACTTGGAAGATGCCTGTGAGGATTGCTCTGCTGACTCTGGCATTGGTGATGGATGTGATATTTCTCTAAAAAAAAGAAAGAAAACATGGATAAGTGATCAAAGGATATGAATAAAGTTTTAAGAAGAAGAATGGCAAGCTATTAACAACTGTTTGAAAGATTTCTCTAAGTCACTAATAAAAGAAATGAAAATTGAAGCAACTTTGAGGTTTTACGGCATACCCAGAAAACTGCCAAAGATGGGAAAAAAGGGGAAATAGTGTTGGAGGGACTGTGGAAAAACCAGTACATTGTTGGTAGAGCTGTGAATTGTTCCAGCCATTTTGGAAAGCAATTTGGAATTATCATAAAACAGTGATTAAAATGTTCATATCCTTTGACTCAAAGATCCTACTGTCAGGCATATGCCTCCAAGAAAATCAAAGATAAGAAAAATAGACCCCATATCTGCCAAAATAGTCATGGCAGCACTTTTTGCGATGGTAAAAAGAAAAAAAAAACTAGGAACAAAATAGTTACCTATTGACTGCTTAAATAAATTATGACATGTGAATGTCATGGAATATCGATATACTGTAAGACTTAATGTATGTAGAGAATATAGAAAAGTGTGGTAAGACTTATATGAACTGTTGCAGGGTGAAGTAAAAAGAATTTAAAAAACCCCCCAACATCCACAATGACTACAACAATGTAATTAAAAACAAACACTGAATGAAACTAAATTCTAGCTGGTTATAATGGCCAAGCTTGGCCACAGAGAAGAGTTAAGAAAATGTATTTCATCCCCATGTAGCAGAGGATGGGGACTATGGGTGTGGAATATTGGAGACACTGTCAGATTTAGTCGATATGCTGGTTGGTTTTGCTGAGCTGTGTCTTTTTTTCCCCTTTCTATTTTCTTAATCTTTGTTACAAAAGAAGGCGTTCTGGGGAGTGGGAAAGGGGGAATGGATATATTTCACGATGTAAAATGGATCTATTTGTGACGTAAAACAAAATGCATTAATAATTTTTTTAAAGGAGGAAGAAGAAAGAAGAGGGAACACATGATGCTTACGTGCATTGTCTTCTCTCACTCATTTAAACATACCCCCTGATATCTCGTTGGAACAGAAGTGTGGCGAAATGGAAAGGGTACAATAGAGGCCTTGGAGTTAGACCACATAGATTCAAGTCCAGGCTGTACCATTTAGTAGCTGGGTTATTATGAGCAAGTCACGTCCTTTCTCTGAGCCTTGGCTTCTCCATCTGTCTTCTTGTACTACCTACCTAACAGAGCTATTATGAAGAAAGCACTTAATAAACTACAAGTGTGGGTTGCTGTTAATGACAATAATAACTATATTAAGAGTTAGTCATAGAATGGGGATTTTAATCACATTATCATAGAACATAATTATCTCATAAAACCTATTTTGAAGACAGGATATAAAAGTTAACTTCATATAGGCGTATCTGACTCTGAAGTCAGACAACATAGGTTCAAATCCCACCTTCAATGTGTGGGAACTTGGGCAAGTTACTTAACTTTCCTGGGCCTCAGTTCTTTCATCTGCAGAATAAGGGGACTGGCTAGATGACCTCCAAGAACCTCACCATAGGATCTAAGATCCTATGAATTATACCAAATGGCTCTTTCTATGAAGTAGATGCCCATTGATGGAGACTGGCTGAACCCATTGTGGTACATAATGTAGTAATAATAGAATATTACAGTGTCAGAAGAAACAATGAAAAAGCCTGGGAAAACTTAAATGAACTGATGCAAAGTGGAAGAAGATCAATAAACATAACTACAACAATATAAATGAAAGAACAAAAAGAAAAACTGATTCCTGTGTGATTATAATGACCAAGCTTGACCCTGAAGAAGAGATGAGAAAGTGAAGCTTCTTAACTTTTCAGAGGTGAGGGGATTATGGATCTGGACCATCGTCAGCCTTGATAGATATGTTGGTTAATTTTGCTGAACTATTTATTTCCTCCCTTCTTTCTTCTTAGTTTTTCAAATTTTGTTTTGTTTTGTAACAAGGGATGACTCTCAGGAGAGAGGAAGGGAGAGTGATATATTTGGAAATGAAAGTGCTGTAGCAACAAAATCAATAAAAATGGGCTTTTAAAAAAAAAAAAAGAAAAGAACAATCTTGGGTTGCAAGATAGTGGAGTCAGACGTACTAAGGTCTGACTGGTCCCTGCCCCTAGCCACAACTATTTAGCCAAGCTTCAGGGGTTCACCTGAGTAGCCAAAGAGGTCACTGCCTGCAGGAAGATTTGCAGTTCTGAAATATTCCTCTGCTGGAAGGTTTCAATCACTTTGAGGGCATTGGATTCTGCATCCACCTTGGTGGTGTCCACGAGGATGTTGGAGGAGATCAGTAGTTCCCCGAGTTGGGTGGCTGTGAGCAGGTCTGTCACCTCAAACTAGAGGCAAGGAAAGGGCAGTTGAAAGCTCAGTTAGTCATAGTGAGGCGGTGTCTACAGGGTCTGTGTTTGGTAGATGGGAGGAAGAAGCAAAGGAAAGAAAAGAAACTCTCTCCTCAGAGAGCTTCCAGTCTGATAGTAAGAGGCTGACTCCCACTTCCAACCAGAGGTTCATCCAATTGGAATATTATACTCATTTTAGCACCTCTATCTTCTAGTTAATTAGTGGCTTCTTTATTTAAGTGATGGCAATGGTTCTAGATAAACCACGGTACACAAGGGGCAAACACAGGCAGACTAAGCCCCTTTGTCCATGTGTGTCCTAGCTTGCAATCTTCATCATGGTGGCCTGGGTGGGGGAGGGGAGGAGTATCTCATAGCCCTCCATCAGGACCACTGTCCTTGCTCACCCCTTTGAAGCCTGGGTTCAGCTGTAGGAAGTCACTGTAGTTTGCAAACACACTGGAGAGGCCAAAGTTGTCCTGGAGCCAGATGCGACTATTGGCAGCAGAGAATGTACATGCAGAACCTGTGGGTAGAAGGAATGTAGGGAGAAGTCGCTGGGGTCCATGGGAGAGTCAGGAGGAGATTTAGAAGGGAGAGGCATAAGGGAAGGAATGAGAAGAGAAGAATCTGAAAGGAGATTTAGCAGAAAGAGATTCAAAAAGGAGAGTCTGTGGTAGGAAAATCAGAGGATGAGAATCAGTAGAAAAGATACTTAGGTGGAGAAGATGTGGAAAAATTGGAACACTAATGCATTGTTGGTGGAGTTGTGAAATGATCCAACCATTTTGGAGAGCAATTTGGAACTATGGCCAAAGGGCTATGCAAATGTGCATACCCTTTGACCCAGCAATAGCCCCTCTAGGGCTATATCCCAGAGAGATCATACAAATGGGAAAAGGACCCACATGTACAAAAATATTTATAGTAGCTCTTTTTGTGTTGGCAAAGAATTGGAAACTGAGAGGGTGCCCATCAGTTGGGGAATGGCTGAACAAGTTATGGTATATGAATGTAATGGAATACTATTGTGCTATAAGAAATGATGAACAGGCTGACTTCATAAAAAACTGTGGTCTGATGCTGAGTGAAGTGAGCAGAACCAGGAGAACATTGTACACAACAACAGCCACGTTGTGTGATGACTAATATTGATAAACTTAACCCTTCTCAGCAATGCAAGGATCTAAGACAGCTCCAAAGGCCTTGTGATGGAAAATGCTATCCACAAAGAAGAAAGAACTATGGAGTTTGAATGCAGATAGAAGCATACTATTGGCTATTTTTTTTATTCTACTGTGTTTTGTTTCCTCTTTCTGGTGGTTCCTCCTACTGGTTCTAATTCTTACAACATGACTAATGTGAAAATATGTTTAATAGGAATGTATTTGTGTACCTTATATCAGATTGCATGCCGTCTAGGAGAGGGAGGTGGGGAGGGAGGGGGAGAAAATTTTAAAGCTCAAAAGCTTGTGGAAGTGATTATTGATAAATCAAAATTAATTAAAAAAAAAAAAAGAATGTGCTTACCAGCCAAAAAAAAAAAAGATACTTAGGGAGGTCTCTGGTTGGGGAGAGAGAAAGAGAGAGACAGAGACAGAGAGACAGAGAAAGAGAGACAGAGACAGAGAGAGACAGAGAGAGACACAGAGAGAGAGAGAGAGAGAGAGAGAGAGAGAGAGAGAGAGAGAGAGACAGAAAGAGAGAGACAGAGAGATTCAAAGGACAAGAAACAGAAATAGAGGGAAGAATCAGATGGGTAGAAATCAAAGGGAGAACTAATGAAGATACCAGAGTGGATGACTTTCTCAGACAGTGACAGCCCCCCCTAACTCACCGCCCCTACCCCTCACAGAGAGCATCCCTCAGTGCCCAGCCCCCCATCACCTTCTTTGGAAGCCTGTTGTCTCAGATAGTTCCTCCTGGCCTGAAACACTGCCTCCTGGGTAGGTGGGGCCAGTACAGCCTGAACAAGGTCAAGGCCCTTGTACCTGAGGTGAAGGATTGGCTTTTGGCACAGAGAGCATGGCAGGGTAGGACCCTCAGAAAGCCCAGGGAGGCAAGGCTCAGATCTGTCTCTTCTCTTTGTCATCCCAGGCTGAGAGCTCCCCAAAGCCTGGGCTCAGATCTGTTCCCCCTTGGGTTTTACCAGTCAGGGCCCGGGCCTGCTGCTCTTCTGCCTTTCCAAACTTGAGTTCCCTGAGGGAAGCACTCGGGTCTGTTCTATCTCTGCCTCCCCCCTACACTGGGTAAGGCCCAGCTCTGGTCTTCTTCTGTCTCCCCAGACTGGGATCATAGTGGCCATGTCTTATCTGTGCCCCAGGCACACAGGGCATCCCAGGAAAGGTTGGATGGCTTGACTAGACCCGTGCCACTGATTCATTGAGACTTTCAACAAGTGACTAAGTCCTTCTCAGCATCAGTTTCCCTAGCAGTAATAGGTTCTCCCTCCCACTCCCCGCAGGAAAAGGAAAGTATTGCCACGGTGGGGGTGGGGTGGGGTGAGGGTGGAGAGGCACTCACATGGCCTGGAAGTCTGTACAGCCCACCTGAGTGGGCAGCAACTTGAGTAATTCCACGTCAAAGGCAGGCAGAAGACCGGTCAGCAGCTCTTGGAACCAGCGCTTCAGGGTGGGTGAGCAGAGATCAGGGAGGGTGTGGGCCAGCTTATGTAGCAGGGTCTCCAGCAAGGCTTTGGACTCTGAACTATTTTGGAGAGGACCAGGAAGGGCTTCCAGGAAGGCCTCAGTGAAGCGGATGTCACTGTGGTTCAGAAGCTGGAGCAGACGAGGGGCAAGGGTGGCATTGGCCAAGGCATCCTGGCTGGTGGTAAACTCTGCCAGCTGTGGGCCCGTCAAGGCACTCAGAGCATCTGCCTGCAGGGGGCAGAACGGGAAACACATGACATAGAGCACAGAGGTATGTCAGGCCCCTCCCTCTAACCTCTCCTTCCTGAATCCCATTCATGTTAGCCCTTCATCGAGGGCAGGCTCACCCCATCAAAGGCTCGCCAGGTGCCCACCAGCTCAGCATAGGAGACATGGTTCCGGAAGCTTCCCCAGTTGACCATGATCCACTCCTGAGAAGAGCTCTTGGGGCATTCTGAGAAAAGGCACAAGGGATGTGCATATCAGGTTCTGACTCCATCCTGGGGGATGGGGCTCTTTGGGGGACTGTGCCACTCACCGAAAGTGGTCAGGAAGCGTTTGATCCAACTGGCAACTGCCCATTGTCTACTGCTGTCCATACTGGGGTACACGCTGTCCAAGGCCTGGACTCTGTGTACAGAAAAGGGCTTCAGTCTCATCAGAATGAGGGGCTCAGATTGGACTCTTGCTAAAATTCTTCCCAATTTAGAAAGTTTATGATTCTTGGATTATTACTTCCACTTTACAGAGGATAAAACTGAGGCCCAAGTTTCAACTCTTCTTAAGGACTTTATGATCTAGTGGGGATGATAAGACATTGGGAAATTAATATGGTTTTAATCAACATATAAAGTGCTTTAGAATTTATAAAGTTCTTTCCCTATTGGAGTTGGTAATATGAGTTATTATTAGCCTCCCTTTAGAGATGAGGAAACTGAAGCTTAGAGAATACAGTGTGACAGATGAGTGGGAGAGGCCCAGACCACAGGCTATGAGAAATCTGAGGAAGAAGGAACTATTTCTATGCCTGGAGGGTGGGAGAGGGGTGAGGGACTATCAGGGAAGGCTTCATGGAAGAGGTGACACCCAAGTGAGAACTTCAGGGAAGAGAAGGATTTTAGCAGGTGGGTTGAGATTGAAGCATATTTTCCCCTGTTTACTTTTCTTGCTTTATTATTATTATTTTTGCAACATGGCTAATATGGGAATATGTTTTACATGACTTCATGTGTATAATAATAGGTATCATATGGCTTGCCTTCTCAATGGATGGGGGAGGGGCTGGAGGGAGGGAGAGAATTTGGAGTTCAAAATTTTTTTAAAAAAAATGAATATTAAAATTAATTAAAAATAAAACAACAGGTGGCATGGGAAATGAGCACTGATTGGAGTCGGGAGATTAGGGTTTGGATGCCAATTCTGGCATTTACAAGCTAGGCACTTGGCCTCGAGCAAATCTTTTCACCTCTCCAAGCTCCGATCTCCTCATCTGTAAAATGAGGGTTATTAATGCTCACACTGGCCCCTTCACAAGGCAGTTGTGGGGAAAGTGATTTATCAACCTTAAAGGGCTGTATAAAGGTGAGCTATTAAGAGGCAGAGATAGGGGAGGATGCATTCGAGGTGAGGGCAGGTCGGAAGCACAGAGAGGGGAGGGGCAGGATAAATACAAGGGACAGCAAAAGGCTTAGTTTGACCTGAATGTGTCCTGTCTGAAGGAAAACAGGAAGAGATAAAGTGCTTGATTCTGGAGATGGAACAGGGGTCTGGGATACAGACTGGCTCGGGTTGGGGGGAAGGGAATAAGACTGGGAATCTCTGGACTGGGATGAGGTGGGGACCAGGTTGGGAGGGCTAACACTTACATGGCAGCCAGCCCATCACACTGTACGGGCAGTTGGCTCAGACACTCCAGGATGCCCAGATCTATGGTTGGGAGGTAGGCGTGGAGCGTCTCCCCAAACCAGGAAGCCAAGAAACCTGCATTCCTTGCCTGAGGGTCAGTCTTGGCCACATCCCACGCTGCCGTCAGGATGAGCTGCTTGGTGTCTGTAGGGATCTGGGTACTGTCAACCTGCATACCAAGGAAGTTAAGTAGGGAGTGCTCAAGGAAAATATAGACGGGATGGATGAGATGGGAGGGATGCTCTGCCCCCTATCCTTGGAGACCCTGACAAGAGGAATTGAGCTTACAGGGTCAGAAGAGGTTGCTATGCAGAGGGCTGAAGGGGAGGGGCCGTTACCTGCACACTGATGTGGTTCAGGGCAAGGCGCAGGGTCTCCACGCTGACCTGGTGGAAGAGCAGCAGGAAGGCATTCTGGTCCAGGGCCACAGCTGGCCCCGTGATGTGGCAGCTCAGGATTGCAGCAAGCTGGCTTGAGGTCAGATTGGTGCTCTGGTGACAGTGGACATTACAGGGTTAGTAGGCACCCACAGCCAGGGACTGTTTCCTAAACATACCCAGACACTTCTCACCGATGCCATTGAATGATACACTTAGGTTAACTGTTTTCTCCTCCCTCCTCTTTTCTCTGCCTGTGGAAATCCTATCTAGCTTTCAAGTCTCCCCTCAAGTGTCCCCTTCTCCGTGAAACGTTTCCTGTTAGGTTTCTCCTTCTTGAACTTCTCACATCCTATCTCGTACTCTAATTATTTGAGTACACATTTTATTCATATGGTAGATAGTAAGTCCACTGAGGGCAAGGATCCTGTCTTATTCATCTATTTCATCCCTGTTGAACAGCTCAGTATAGAGCTTCCCACACAGTAGGCATCAGGGAGTGTTTATTGACTGGATGGATGAATAAATGAATAACTGAATGAATGAGCAAAGGAATGAGTGAATGAATGGAAATGGGAAGTTTAATATGGGAATTCACACCTCCCCCAACCTGTCATTACAGTCTAGGGCCCCTGTACCTTAGCACAGGCAAACTGGGGCAGTGTAAAGGCTGTACAAAGGGCTGCCTGGTCAGAGGGCACAGTCACATTGACACTGCAGGGAAACAGACACTATTACCACAGGACATTGGGAGTGGGGCAGTCTCTGCACTTGCCTGCTGAAGCATCTTGTTCCCAGAGGCTCCCAAGGCCAAAAGGATGTCCGAACCTTTAGGAGCAGGGGCACAGCCTTGGGCTATAACACCACTCTGGTTATTAGGGTTTCTCTTTCCCAAAGAGAGAACTTTTGCCCTCCCCTGAACCCTCAAGGGTTCTCTCTTACCTGTTCACTGGTGCACAGTAGGTTGGAGCTGCAGGAGAAACAGACCTTAAAGCATCAATGAAGGAGCCTAGGAGGCTGGGATTGGTATAGGACTAGATAGGGGTGGTTGAAGATGGGGGGGAGCAGTAGGGCAGGAGAAGGTATATTTACTGGTGCCCATCCCACTTGGTCTTTATCTCCCCTCGTCCTCAATCCCTCTGACCCCATTCCTTCCCACCCCCTTTCCAGGAGTCTCTAGCCCAGGTTCTTGGAGCCTGGGTCCCTGGGGACTGGGGGAAGGAAGGGATTCCCAACCCCATAGGTCCTCCCACTTATTACAAGGTTGACTTACATATCGGGAGAAGTGGGCACTGAGGGAGAAAGAAGAGAGAAAAGTGGGTGTTAGGAGTGAAAAGACAACATTGTCCCTCAGGGCTTAACTTCCACATGATTTAGAGAGATGTAAGCCACGGAAAGAAAGCTACTTGAGACCCCTGACAAGTCATCCCCATTTTTAGAAAGGATCCAGTATAAAAATCTATAGCTGCTCAATAAAAATGTGATGATTGAATGAATGGATGAATGTCTAAACCGTCTTTCATCTGGAGTATCATTGCTTCTCCATCATTAAGACTTGAGAAGGAGAGTCAGCCAAGGATTTTGTTATCTCTAATATACCAATAGAGCCACTGAGACCCAAAGACATTAAGAGATCAGTTCAGGGCTGCACAGGGCCAGCCTCTAGCCAGGGGCAGTACCAGGCTCAGAAAACCAGGTTCCATGACTCCCTGCTTAAGGGTTCTTTCTTCCATAAAGAAGGCACAAGGGTATTTACCTAGTCAGGAATTTAGGTAAATACAAGGTATTTATTCAAATTCAAGGCAGCTCTCTACCTTGCTGGCTCCAGCCCTATCCCTAGTGATATTAAGCAGCAGCCCTGCTCTGACATTGTCAGCCCCATTTGGCTCACATCTATTCGAACATCTGGAATAATGCAAGGGATGGAGAAACAGACAAACCTACCGAATTCAGGGCCTCTGCTCCTGGGGGACCTATGGGGGAGTCAAGGAGAACAGAAGAAGAGTGGGATCAGAAATGGGTAATTCTTTTTTTTTTTTTGCTAGAAATGGGTAATTCTACTCTCTCCATATCCACATGTCCTCCCAACTGTCTCATATCAACTTGCCACTCTCCAGTGTCTTCAGGACTCACCCCCAAGGAGCCACATGGCCATAGAAACCAGGGCCATCAGTGACGCCTTCATCTCCCACATGGTATCGGGGCCTCAGCACCTGGAAGAATATTAGGAGAAACTCATTTATATTCAAAGTCCAGCCCATGGTCCCTGCCAGCCTGAAATGGCTTTGTGAATTATCCAGACCCTCTGGGATTTTTCTTCTTCTCAATCATGCTCAGTTTTCCTTTTGTGGGGTAGCGTCAGAAGAGTAAAGGAAACTCTCAGTTTTGTTAGCCCCACAGGTGAAAGGCTGTTAGGTTAAGGAGAGTCCTGCCTCATCAGGTTTCCTTTGGATTATCTGTGGTTTTCCATTTTTCAGACCTCTATGGCCCTGGTTATGGTGAAGCTACCTCTAAGGGACTATGGGAAACCTTGGGGGTATCTCGATCTGTGGGCTCTTTTTCAGGTAGCCAGATGGTGCAGTGGATAGAACACTGGGGCTGAAATCAGGAAGACTCAAGTTCAAATCTGGCCTCAGGCACTTAGTATCTAGGCAATCTTAGATGGTCCCAGGTGGTCATTTAACCTCTGTTTGCCTTGGTTTTCTCAATTGTAAAGGGGATAGGGGCATAATAACAGTACCTATCTTGCAGGGTTGTTATGAGGATCAAATCACTTTAGCACAGCACATGGTACACAGTAGGAGATATATAAATTCTTATTCCATTCCTCCATATTTCTCTGGAGAGGGAATGTCTAATTCTTCAGATATATTAGCTCACAGTTTAGTCTTTTAGAGAGGGCATTCTGCAGAGGCTAAGCAGCTCTCCATAGTGGATAATTCAAAACCATAGATAATGCAAAAACCAGGAGATCATTTGTAGAATGACCCCAAATTTATGAGGATGGTATCCTGGTGCTGTAAGCCTTGCCATGCCCACAGAGAAATAGAAGATGTGGCCCCGATATTATGCTCCTAGTACTTTGAGGGTCTCATTACTTATTTGGTCCATTCCTCTGTCTCTGGCCCTCCCCAAGAGAGTCCTTCCTCTATATTTTTGGTAAACCTCTCCCAAGAAGGGGACTCAAATATCCTTCCTTGGTGATGTGCCCCTCGTTAACCTCTTGAGTCTTCTACCCACAATTCCTGTGTGAGCGGGAAAAAAAGGAGAATGGATGTTGAGCTGAGGAAGTCAAATCATCCAACTTGGACAATAAATGACTACGGATGAGATCACCAAAGGACAGTGGATAAAAAGAGAAGAAACTCAAGGCGTCTAGAACTTGGGGGAACAGTCAAGTTTAGAAGGTCAGAAGATGGAGCTGAGTCAACAGAAGAAGAGGAGCCGAGATGTTTGCAGATCTCAGGGGGTTACAGAGAAGCTGCAGAAGACTAGTCCCTCCCACAATCACCATCCCCCGAAATGATTGCCCTTTATATAGAACATCACAGGCGAAAGGGCTTTAGGGATCCAGACAAGTCCAGAGAGAGGAAGGTCACACAGCAAGTCAGGGGCAGACCCCAGTTCTCCTGATGCCCCAACTAGGATTGTTTCCACTACAAAATACTGCCTCCCTACATTTCCTTTATTCATTCCCCCTTCCTTTTGCCCAGGCCTCTGGGCCCATCTACCCTGGCACACTCCTCTTGGGCTAACTGCTCTCTCCCCGATAGGACCCTAGCCAAATGCCATCCAGCAAAAGGAGGTAGCCAATCTAGTGACATCTCTAATGGCACCTGACTCTAGGCTGGAGCCTTGATGAGTGGGACCTGAGCCAGAAGATTGTGCTCTTAAGGTATGATATGAGAGGTCCCTATCTCCAATAGCTCTCCTAGCTGCCTATCACCACGTCTAAAATTCCACCATCAGAGGAGGCTTTTCTTTGCATCATAAAGGCTATTCAGTCTTTTCAGAGTCTCTTATGAATTCAAGTTCTAGGAGGAGGAAACTTTCTTAGCGTGGATTAAGTGATAGCCATTTAAAAACAGAATCATTAGGGAAAAGGGGGTCCTGAATAAGGAAGTGGAGTTAGGGGATTGCCAGAGACCGACTTCCCAGTTCTGCCACTCATAGGATGGCTATGAGCCTAGAGAAAGGTGAGGTCCTAACCCAGGAGGCATTGGCTCAGATCACCCAGCCTTGCTCTTGGAACTAACCTCTAGGATTTCAGGAGTTTCCAATTCTCTCCCCTTCTCAGTTTGTGACCTTGGATATACACACTTCCTCATCAACTCTGACTTTCTACACAGTTCTTCCTGGAATGCCTTCCCTCCTCCTCCTGTTTAAAGCCCAGAATCGTAGAATTATAAGTGGAAAGGGGTGTAGAGGTCATTGAGTCCAGCCTCTTTATTTATCAGATGAGTAAAACAGAGACCCAGAGAAATTAAGTGACTTGCTTAACGCAGAGACATAGTAGCTCCTGGAAGATAGTATCAGAGTTCCTCATCCTTCAAGGCTCTGTTCATCTCATCATAGCCAGGAAGACTTTGTTGCCTACTTCCAGGACCTGATCAGGGCTCTGACCTCCTAATAGTATCATACAGCTTAGCATGGAACTGAACTCTAATTGATTCTCTTCATGCCACAAGAGATCCCTGAGGGCATCCTCCTGTCGTTCCTACAGTGCCCAGAGATATACCATAAGTTAAAGCCTGTTTGATGGGTAACTAGAACATCCGTAAGTCTAGAAAAAGATTTCCCCCATCATTATTCACCCAAGAAAGCTACCTCCCTTTGGGGACAATACCACACTACCAACCTGTCTGTCTGTTGGAGCTGAAGGCAGGTCTGGACACCTCCCCCTGGGTTCCTTGTAAGTCAGGTAGGTCCCTGGTCAAAGTTACAGCACCTTTTATGCCCAGGAAGGAGGAATGTGGTTATATCTGAGCAACTCCTCCCCCTGCCTAGTCTTGACCTGGTGCCCCACCTTCCAGCAGAACAAAAATCAGAAGGGGTCATCCCATGATAGAAGCAATGGGACTCCCACGTGGAACACTACGGGGGCAGAATCACTTCCTGTTTGTTCATAGAAAGGGTTGGTGCTTCCTTATACTTGCATATTTCTTGAGAGGTAGATGGTTTGGGGAATGATAGGCTTAAGGCTCAGGTAGGGGAGAAGACTCAGACATTAGAGATAGAGTGGAGAAAATGATTCTAAAGAAAGAAAGGATGACAGAGTATTCAGTGGGAATAAAGAGGCCCCAACTTTGACCTTTAGGTATACCCTCAGCCACCATAAAAACTAAATGGAAGAGAAGCTTCCCACTTCTCCCCTCCTCACCCCCATGAAGCCTGGACCCTTCATAGCCACCATCTTAGCTGACTGTCAACTAATCCGGGCTGAGATGGTGCAAGTGACTAGTGATAACTTAGCCATTCCCTCTGCCAGAGTGAGGTATTTATCTGCCTTTTGACCTGGGACAGGAAAGTCTGAACTGCCTTCAGCACCACAGACTTGGAGGAAGACTCCCAGAAATACTGAATTGAACAGTCTATGAGTCTATGAGTGAAGCACTAATTTTAGAATTCCAGGCCACACTAGAAATATTCTGAACACATCCTGGATTTATTTCTATTGGATGGTCCCTGAGAGAGTCAGCCCAGCTGGGCCCCAGATGTCTGTTCCCACCCTTGGGCAGCAACTTTCGTGATCTGTCACCCTTCTCACCCTTGAGAAGAGAAGAGTGACTGTCAGTACCTGGAGTGATGTGGGTCTGGAGTTCTCCATCTAGGCTCAGGGAGGATCAGATGGGGAAACTGAGATTCAGAGAATGGAAGTGATTTACCCAAGGTCACATGGCTAGCTTGAGGCAAAGTCTGGATTAAATCCCAAGTCCCCTTGATAATGTCACCCTCCCACCCCCAAGTTCTAGTACTTTCTCTAGCTTCCTAGGGTGTGTGTGTGTGTGTGTGTGTGTGTGTGTGTGTGTGTGTGTCTTGGGACCCTAGGTGTGGGTGTAGGGACTGGATTGGTAATGTCTTAGAGTCAATGTCTCGTTGTCAACTTCCAGGATATATCCCAAGTTATTATCTTCATACCCCTGTGATATAGAAAAGTTTTTATTAACTCCAGCTGACTGTAGCATCAAAAAAAGCTAAGAGACGTGTCTTTGGGCATATGGTAAACTTGGGGACGGAAGGCGGGGAAGTCTATCTGGCTGACGGGCCCCTTCGTGGAAGTGTGATGAGAGCCAAGCTTGGCCTTGGGATCAGAGAGAGTTCAGCACCCTTTTCCTCCAGGGGAAACTGGTTCTCCTGGTCTCTCCTGGCATCAGTTACCTGGGAGAATTCCTTTCAAAATGAAAGAAACTGGGGCAGAACCAGGCCAGGCAGCCATGCACAGGGCTTGGGCACACTCTGCTTTCTGGGCCTGATAGTATCATCTCTCCTCCTATCCAGAGACACTCAGCCATGCCTCTGGTGACTTTTGTGACTTCCAAGGGGGCTTCCCTCCTGAGGGATAGCCTTGCTTCGGGGAAAAGATAAACTAGATGACCCCTAAATTCTTGTCAAACTCTGACGTGGTTCCATGATTCCCCCAAGGTACACGCCCTGGCCATTGCCCAAAGCCCAGGGTAACGAAAGTAACCTTGAATTGACGACTACAATTTGTCATGGACTTCACAGTGGCTGAGGGCCTAGTCAATAATCTTGCCTTCCTATTTGTAGAGTTAAATCTTTCTTTAATATCACTCCAATATATTATTCCCCACATGGCTTCCAAATTGATATTCTTTTTTTTTAAATTTTAGTCAATTGGGGTTAAGTGACTTGCCCAGGGTCACACAGCTAGTAAGTGTCAAGTGTTTTCATCTGAGGCCAGATTTGAACTCAGGTCCTCCTGACTTTAGGGCCGGTGTTCTATCTACTATGCCACCTAGCTGCCCCACCAAATTGATGTGCTTAAAGCATAGGTCTGACCATGTCAACTTCCTTGTTCAAGGAGTTTCAGAGGCTCCTTGTTACAGACTTCTTGTTTTGGCCTTGAAAGTCCTGCAAGGTCCGGCTCTAACCTATGGTATTTGTCCAGACTGATTTCACACTCTTTTTCCTCATACATTGTAGATTCCAGTCAAACTTGTGTACTTGCTATTC